TCAAACATTCTTCTGAAACATTCATCTAGCAGAGTAGCAATCCATGGGACAGATTTAATTTTGCAAATCGCGGCAACTCACGGGATAGACAATGACTTGGGCACTGTGTGGCTAGCACAAGCGAGACGATAAAACTAACATTGAAAGTTGGGAGCCCTGGGACATTGATTGAGACCATGTTGCGTTCGAGTCTTTGAGAAGCAACACTACAATCCTACGTCCTAGCGGCTATATTTCCACCGCATGCTCCACAAATTTAGGGTTTCAATTTTCAAGCAAAGACTAATGATAAAGCTCCAAGCCCTAAATTGGAGCACCATGTGAAGTAGGTATTCGTTGATAATATAAAAAATATATATAGTCAATATGTATACCTACTCTAATCTAAGCAAAGAAATGAAAGCAGCATTCAAAATTCAAGAGATTTGTAAAACAAAAATTGGCTGTTGGATTTTTCTGCTTGTTCTGTTGTTTGGAGATTGGTGCTTTGTGCTTGGCTTATGTTGTATCCATGATTCTGAGACAGAATAGTAGTCATTGGTTTTGAAGATGCATCACCTTTACAAAGTGGGGGCGTTTCATAATTGACAAACGAGCATGCACTTGGAATGGTAATTGTGGGTTAGACAAGTTTGGTTAAGGTAACGAGCTCGTACTTTTTCATATAAGAATGACTTATATGGCACGAGTACACTGCTACCGTGACATTCCATGTCAATAATATAGAGACAAAAAAAAAAAAAAAAAAAGGTCGTACCCAGTGCACAAGGTTCCCGCTTTACGCAGGGTCTGGGAGAGGTGAATGTCGGCTAGCCTTACCCCCATTTATGGAGAGGCTGCTCCCAAGTATGTCAATAATATAGAGACATGTAAGTTTTTTCCACATGACATGTTTTCATTGGCACTGAGACATTCCTGTTTCTACCTTTTGCACTCCTCCCATTAATTTCATCTCTTGATTATTTGGAATTGGAGAATGAGAGTTGCTAATTAAAAAAAAAGTCTATGGTTCNCACGCGCCCATGATGAATGAGGGGAGGGGGGCTTTGGCAGAAGAATCATCGATTCAAAAATGAGAATTCCAAAAATAATGAATTTAGGAGTTTGTGGGTAGCAAATGACTTAGCATTTTAGTGGAATAAGTGAGGTATTTATAGGAGGGTGGCTGACCCCTTGAATGGAGAATGACCGGTCATATATGGTAGAATTGGGGGAATTATTGCAAGATATTATGTGAAATAATATCTTGCAACTATCATGGTAATTATTCACAACTTAAATAGGAAGTTTTGGAGGTTACCTTATTGAATAAAATCAAAGAGGGAGTGATGAGAGGAATTTGAATAAATTTCATAAAGATCACCTTTGACTCTTCCTTGATTGAGCCATTATTGTCTGTTGCATGCACGTGGGAATTTCGGTGTGCCTCGAGGGTAATCTTGTCTTTCTTGCCAAAAATCCACGTGTCACGTCCATGATTTTGGGATTTTTTTTTTATCCACAAATGCCCGCACACCTGCTGGGCTAGTCGTAGGAAATGGCAGTAGGTTTAGAGATATCCAACTATTTAGGGAAATATAAGATTGTTTCCTAATTTGATGCAAATTCCCATTTCATTTGAAATTAGATTCTTCTAGGAAAGGAAAATAAATGACCACTAAATGAAGTTCAGAGAGCAATTATTTAACCCTAAAAGAAAGAGAGAAAGCTAGAAGATATTTATTCCCCCTCCCCTAGCATTCTTCTTCGCTTGCTCGTGCAAAGAATCGTCTTTTGTTGCTTTCTTCGTCTTTTCCGCACTGCACCAAGGTAAGAAAAAATTATTTTTCTTTCTTCTTTATTTTTCTGGAGCCTCGGGGCTTGATAAAATAGCTCAACATGGGCCGAGGAAGTGATTGGGCAGCTATAATGCTGCTATGTAAGTAAGGCAACTCGAGAATCCATGGTGGTGCGGAGCGACTAGCTCGTTGGGGCCAGGAGTTGGCTCCCTTGGACCAAGGAAGATGGCACAGGGCCATGCTAGTATGTTAGCTTGCTTATTGGACCTTTAGTTGAGAAGCAATCATTCGGCTGCCTTCAGAAAACTTGACATCGAGCTGTTTTCAATGTCCAGGTCCAGAGATAGAGTGAAGTATCTGGTCGGAGCTAAGTCTAGATCAATTTCTGAAAGGCTCGCCACTACGAGAAGTAGGGGAGAAATTACCGTCACTTGGAAAAATGGATTTGGCTGTTAAAAATGAGTCAAAGCTTGCTTCTTCTGCTACTGCCATGTTTGTGTTGTTTGCCAAGAAGGAGGAAACTGCTTGAGTTTGATTTCTCAGATGTCGTAGATGGAGCAATCAAGGATGTAGCTGCCAAGATCGAAGTTGCCGAAGAAGAAGTGTCGGATGAGCAAAATATTAAGTACGAAGTGGTTGCTGAAGGCAGGATGGCTGTTAGAGAGCCCACAGTCATCCAAGCTACTAAATGAGTAGTCTGCTCTATTTAGCTTATGTCAGATTATGGTGATCTTCATATAAGTTTATCAATTTCTATTTGCTAGAAATTTAATAAACTGTTTTCTTCGCTTTACTCCAACTTCGTTTTTCTTGAAACTTTGCTTGCTTGAAGCGTCTTGAAAAACTTTTAGCCATAGAACTGTCGATTAAGCCTGCTTCTTTGAAAAAAGTTGACAATCCCACAGAGTCACTATACCTGTGAGTTTTGTCTTCTTGGGGCATCGAGCTATTGAGTTTGTTATCGGTTGTTGCCCCCTAACCATTTGCTGCTTAGTTGATCTTCGAGTATTCAATCTTTTAAGCTGTGTAGCCTGCATCACAACATGATAAAGATCTATAAAATATGAAAATCGTTTAACTAATCACATCAAAATGAGTAGTTATGTGGAAATACATGGGCAGTTTGCCCCATTCCGTTGAAGAATATATCCATATGGGTGTAGGAGAATTAGTTTAGCATCTCGCACTGAAGAGCATACCCAGATGGGTGTTGGGGAATTAGTTCACCCTCTCATGCTGGAGAGAATATCCAGATAGGTGTTGGCGAATTAGTTTACCCTTTCGCCCTAAAGAGCTTACCCCGATGGGTGTCGGGGTATTAATTTACCCTCTAGCACTAGAGAGCATACCCAGATGGGTGTCGGGGAATTACTTTACCATCTCGCACTAAAGAGCTTATCCGTATGGGTGTCGGGGAATTACTTTACCCTCTCACACTGAAAGCTTATCCATATGGGTGGTCAGCTAAGAATCTGAATGGATTGCAAGCTTCTTCATTGCTAAGTCTTTTACTAACAGGGGTTGGGGCTAGTAGCCGGGAGCCGAGTAGCAGGTAGACACAGCTATAAGCGCAAAGCTGGGGCCGACTTGGGTCAGGTTGTGCGCAGCAGAAAGAATTGGACCACTAGGTCTGCGGTGCTTGGCTACTGGTGATGTGCTGCTCCAATATTAAATCGTCTAGAGTGATAAGAACAAGACCTGCCCATGGCTCTTTGTGGAAGGGTTGTGTGTCCTTTTGGTACCCGTCTATCCCCGGCACATCATTAAGCTGAGTTACTGCATTTGTCGGAACAAAAGTAATCTTTGAATTTGCTAGTGTATATGGGGTGGTTCCATATGCTCAATCTTGTCAATAAAAGGTGAGCTGCTCATATAGGCTACGTCTTTTTCGAGTGTTACATCAGTGGTCTTAATGCACTAAAATCCGCGTAATCGCGTAGTGATGAGCCTTTCTATTTCTTCTTGAATTTGCCTCTGCTAGGGCAGCAAAGCTTTTGTCTGCCCCCGATTGTGACATGTTAGTCTAGGATGTTATTCCCTATGCTCAGCTCGTCTATCTCGCGGCTGATGCATGTGGTGCGTTCCTGGTAGGCGAGCGGGTTGCTTGTAGGTTGTGGGTTGAACTTAAGCCATATTGGGTAACTGCTTCTCTCTATCTGTCATGCTGCCTACTCCGATGTGAGGTAGAGGATGCTCCTTGCGGGCCTAGACATGAATAAACACTTCGCTTGGAAGGTTGTCCATGTTAATTATGAGAGTGTGACCCCAACCGTGAAAGTATGCTTGTTTGTGGGCCTAATCGAGAGTGCACGCTTCTAAGCTCCTAAGACGAGAGCATACACTATCCCGAGGGCCCAGGCGGGAGTGTATGTTGCTAGAACACTCGGTTCATGGTTGGTGAAGAGGCTGTTTATCGGGATGCTGCTTCAGATGGTCGTTGTCTGCCTTTGTCCTGTTTCGGGACACCTCATCTAGGGCATGCTGCAAACGCTTATTCACCAAGGTCGTCTGTTGTGAGAGGGCGCTTGTCAACTCTTTGACTTGTCGGGATAAGTGTTGTTTGCCATGCTAGATGGAAGAGCTTAGATAATAGATTTCTTTATGGGTGGTAGAAGTGTAGTGGACTCCAAGTGCAAAATTTGAGCCAGGATGGGTCAAATCTACAAAAAATAGGGGTGAAAATACCCACAGTTCAATCGTTGGTCCATAAATATGAAGTCGGGATGGTTGACGTGCATCATATCACACTATTTCATTCATCTTAATACGTTTCATTTCCCACTTGTAACACAACAGGGTTACCTTGGGCAGTGTAACTATGGGTCCAAACATATTTTGGTGAGGAATTTGACCTAGATTGTAATTTCAGTTGTCCAATCAGTTGTCACTTAATCAAGGGAGCACGGCAGGAAGAGAGAAAGATGAGGTGTGGCATAGAGAGAGAAGAAAGATGATAGAATCTCATAAGGATATCCTAGATATGTTAGGATTTATACAATCATATTGTTAATCCAATAGGACTGCAACATACATAATTATATATACTAAAGCCCAATGCAAAACACTGTTCATAGGAACAGTGTAATGACGGAATTACCCCCGTTTTCTGCTCAAATTGTTACTTGTTTTTCTCATGTGCACAGTAAAATTACGAAATTGTCCCACGTTAACACGTGTCTTTGTGCATGAGCTGTCGTTCCTCCTTTTCTCGGTGGTTTCTGGAATTCGACAGCCGCATCCTTTTTCCACACCATCGGCCGAAAACCCATCCCAATCTCCTCCACCTCTCCCTTCCCGCTCCACTGCCCACTTTTCGACAGCCTTCTTCCTCTTCAACGAGATTCTTTAATAACAAAACCACCACCAACTTTGTAAATTGCTTCTCCTCCAGTTCTCCCAGACCACCGCCACAACAAGTTCACGCAAATCTGCGACTCGCTCCACAGTACACACGTGAACCGCGACATTTGCGTTTTCCATAACCCTCTTTACGGGAGGTAAGCAATTTATCATACTTTACATTTTAAAATTTTCTTTACAAAAGAAATTTATCTTCTGGTGATTTTTCTGGATACCCAAGGATTGAAAGAAATATGGGTTCTTGAAGGATTGGAGTGGTGAAAGCGGGTAATCAATCAATACAAGAAATAAGTGTAATTTTCGCTTAAGTCCCCTTTCTCGATTGAACCAAAGCATAGCATTGGAAAAAATATGTAATTATCAGGGTTTTTTGTTGTTGTAATTTTTCTAATTTTGAGGGTTTTGTTTCCAGGCTCAAACTTCGTGTCGTTGTCTTTCCAATCCCTCTCTGCTCAAGGTAAGGAATTTAAACTTCTGGGGCTGTTATTGATTATATTCGAGTTGAATTTAGTATTCTGGGTTATTGAATTTGAATAACTGTTGGGGGTCATTGAAATTCGAATTGAATTTGGTATTGTGGTTATTAGGGCAGAGGAAGAGTCAGTTTGGTATTCTGGTTATTTTGTCATTTGAGTTTGGATTAGAATTCGATTTTGATTCAATCGAATAGTCTACCTTTTTTTTTTTTTTTTTTTTTTTCTGGATCTAAAGTTTCCTTCATGCAAAGCAATCCATCAAAAGCTTCTTGAACAGCAGCTAAAAAATTGACTGAAGATTGATCGCTCGAGCAGCAGTTAAAAAAATTGAAGGTAGAATCGAATAACAAATAGGAAACTTTAGAATGGTGGATGACGAAGTTGGAATAGCATCAAATTGATATTTTTGGTATTTAAAGAGTGGTGGGCGAAGTAGTGGGAGTGAAGTGCTAATCCTGCTTCAAACATGATTCCAATATAATTAGACCATTTTCAATTAATTGCAGATAGATTTGGGCCTTGATTTATGTATTGTATTAGGATGATATTTTGGTTTTTTTTTTTTAACCTTTTGAGCATATTCTTAGATCAGTGGTGGTGACAATGTAGAATCCTAAGTTCTTTGTGATGGGAATCAACGGTTCCAATGCAACATTCAGGCCATTTAATAAATCAGCAGTTCAAATGCAGCATTCAGGTTAGTGTTGGTGACATTTGCTTCAGACAATTCTTTAAATCAGGTTCAACTTTATCTCAAATATGCATAAAGTTATTGTTGATACCTATAGTAAATTTTGAGTTGAGCTTTGATAAAAGTAACTTTACCACTCAGATTGTGTTGCACCACCTCCTTTTCTACTTATGCTACAAGGAATCGTACTCAGTTTTGACTTTTGAGTCTCTCATTTTAGCGACATCACCACCAACTACTATTGCAAATTAGATACCAATTAAACAAACCATCACTCACAAATTTGTATGAAAAACGCATCATGTATACTGTATATAGCTGGTGTGTAGAAATCCACTTTTTTGTTGTACATAGGCTCTTAATTAATGTAAATTCAATAGGATATAGATGCAAATTTAAAGATTTATTTTACCATGTGGATTCATCTGCTTTGATTGTTTTTTGAATTATTTCTAAATGGATGTTGTTTGTACCATACTTGACCAATCCCGAAACTACCGAGCACCGGCCAACGCTATACTGTCAAGGACCCAGAAGAGTTCCCCCCGACCAGGAGGCCAATCACTACTCGACACGTGTCAAGATTAGAAGCCAATCAGAGCGCAGCACGTGTCGACATCAAGAACCAATCATAACATGACACATGTCAATGTGACAAAGCTACAAGTTTTTCTATAAATAGGGGTCATTCCCCCACAATATTGCCTAATGACATTTGTGTTAAATCATTCACAAGAACTCACTAAATTGAGAGCTTGATCCTTTGTACTTGTGTAAGCCCTTCACTACTAATAAGAACTCCTCTACTCCGTGGACGTAGCCAATCTGGGTGAACCACGTACATCCTGTGTTTTGCTTCTCTGTCTCTATTCATTTACGTACTTATCCTCACTAGTGACCGAAGCAACCAAGCGAAGGTCACAAAACCTGACACTTTCTGTTGTACCAAAGTCTTCGCTGATTTTGTGCATCAACATTTGGCGCCGTCTGTGGGAAACGACACTTATTCCTACTATCTTCAGCTGTGTCAAGCTGGTTTCTATCATTCGTACACTTTCTTTTGATCAGGCATCCCTCTCCAGCATGGGAAGCGAAGGAAGCCACAGCACACAGAATGACACCCCCCTTGCACATAGTGCGAAACAACGAAAGAAGGAAGGAAAACGAGTTCTTCTTCAAGCTAAAGTCGATGAGTTGGAAGCTCAGAACAACAAGATAGCAATAAGGAATGAGGTCCTCCAGGAGCAATATGAGAAGCTCTTCGAGACACTCCACGAAGCTAGGCAAGCTCAGACACGCGAGCTTGTTGCCCCCGTGGAAGTCAACCATCAACTGGGTGCCCTCCAACATGGAGGGTCACATGCATTCGACATAGATATCCCTGATAGGGAACAGATTACCCCTCGACTTGATAATCAACATGAGGCTTCTCTTAACCCAGTTGCTTCGACCCGAACCATGAGAAGTGGAGGGGAGACACCTCTTTGCTGAAGGGGCAGAAGGATCGAAAGCCGTCTTTTCGCGATTGTCGGGGATTTCCTGAAGCAACGTCGAGAGAATTCCATCCATATAAGCTCAAAGATTAATGACCCAAGGATTTCTGAGAGACTCGGTCCCCTGCCACGGCCCAAGCCGGCCACCAATTTGGGGAAGGGGCAACAAGTCCCAGAGAGACATGAGGGTACAGGGGACTCAGAGGTGTTCCGACAGACATACCCTGGAAGCCAGTACAGCGAGTCCAGGGAAAAATCACATGCCCTTGATCAAACCTTCCTAATTCCAAGAGGAGATGGAGATTTACGAAAGAAAGCTCCAGTGACACATAACTCCGCTCAGGACCCCCTTGTCCTACAACTTCTTGAGGAAGTAAACAAGTTGAAGGCTGAACGTCAGGCTGAAATACCTGACTGGAACCAACCCAGGCCTGGCCCTCTTACAAGGAGGATCCTCAACACCCCCCTTCAAGCAAAGACAAAGCAAAAGCTTGGCTTGCAACTTTATACTGGAAAAGAGAACCCGATTGAGCACCTTAACCTCTTTGAATCCACCATGGCATACCGGATGCACACCGACGAAGAGCGATGTCTTCTCTTCCCCTCCACCCTCTCTAGTGAAGCTCTAAATTGGTATTGTCGTCTTACACCTGAGACGGTAGATTCATTTGAGGAATTGAGGAAACTATTTGTTTCCCAACACATTTTCCAAACCGATCGCTTGCACTCTGCAGATGACTTGTACACTATCCGCCAGAAGCCAGACGAGTCATTACGTATGTATGTTGGCCGCTTCAGCCATGAATACTCCCGGTGTGCCGAGGCAGACGACAAGACTGCCCTCAAAGCCTTCACGGCAGGCCTACGTGATTGTTTCTTTAAATACATGATCAATGCCAATACTTGGAAGACTTACTCTGAGGTGATGGCGCAGGCTTATAACCATGCATCCGCCGAGGCAAAGACATATCAGGAGAAACCCCCTACAACCATCCTTTATCAACAAGTGGGCGGTGGAAGCCAGACTCACCTAAATGAGAAGACCTCGACTTTCCAAACAGCAGTGGCACCTCCCCATGCCTTGCATAATGCTTCACCGAATCAACAGACATATCAATTTCAAGGCAAGAGGAAGGATTTCCATCCTCACCACTCTCCTTTCAGTAAAAAGAGTAAGGGACACTATCCCGATAACCAAGGGTATCGCCACAATAGCGCTCGCCCCCAGGCAGTCAATGCAGTGGGTCAAACCCGCGTCAAGGGTATCGCCACAATAGCGAGGTTTTAGCCTGCCATACTTAAGGTGTCTTACGCCTGCCGAGGCGGAAATCGTCCTTCGGGAAATACATGAGGGAGTCTGTGGAGATCATGCTGGATCTCGGTCCCTAGCACACAAGACTTTTCGCCAAGGATATTACTGGCCAACACTCCACCAGGATGCCATCAAAGTATCCCGCTCATGTGACAAATGTCAACGATATGCAACTATTCCTCATTCCCCTCCAGAGCCTCTTACTCCTATGATCAGCCCTTGGCCCTTCGCCCAGTGGGGACTTGATTTGATCGGCCCAATGCCGGCAGGGAAGGGCAAAGTCTGTTACGCAGTCGTTGCAGTGGACTACTTCACAAAGTGGGCCGAAGTAGAACCCTTGGCAACCATTACTGAGGCAAAGATAGAAGACTTCGTGTGGAAGAACATCCTTTGTAGATTCGGCATTCCCAATGCGATAGTCACTGACAATGGGCGACAGTTTGACAACAAGAAGTTCAGGTTGTTCTGCTCTAAGTTCAACATCAACTTATGCTTTGCCTCTCCAGCTCATCCCCAGTCTAATGGACAAGTTGAGGCCATCAACAAAATAATCAAGCGCACTTTGAAAACCAGCTTGGACAAAGCTAAAGGCTGTTGGCCAGAATTTGTACCCCAAGTTCTTTGGTCATATCGCACTTCATATCGGACTTCAACAGGAGAAACTCCATTCTCACTTGCCTTTGGCACAGAGGCGGTTGTCCCTGTTGAGCTCGAGCAAGCAACATTCCGAGTCCAGAACTACATTCAAAGTGAAAATGACAAACAACTCACCCTCAACTTGGATTTAGTCGAGGAACACAGAAACCAAGCTCACTTGAGGAATGTCGCCTACAAGCAGCGCATCTCCAACTATTATGACTCTAGGGTCAAGCCTCGTTCTTTCAAAATAGGAGACTGGGTCTTAAAGAAAAGATTACTCTGCGACAGAGTCCCGAGTGAAGGCACACTTAGTCCAAACTGGGATGGACCGTATGAAGTCATTGGCATCAGTCGCCCTGGCTCTTACACACTTAGAAGCTCTGATGGCAAGACCCTTGGCCATCCATGGAACGCTGATCACTTGAAGTACTACTACAAATAGACTCACGATGTACAAGTGTTGAGCTATAGCCGTTCGGCATCCTATGTAATGAAGGCCATTTGGCAATGAATTCAATAAAGAGGTAATTTAGCCAACTCAGCCCTCACTCTTTTACATTCATAGCAAGCGATGCCAGAACCCTTCTCAATCAGAAAGCAATCCGTCTTCCACAGTCACTACAAAAACAAGCAAATGAAGACCGTGTCAAGCGCCAAAAAAAAAAAAAAAAAAAAAAAAAAAAAAAACAGCTTCATCCAAAAAGCTTCACCCGAAAAGCTTCACCTCCAAAGCTTCACCCACAAAGCTTCACCTAAAAAGCTTCACCCAAAAAGCTTCACCCGAAAAAAGCTTCACCTCCAAAGCTTCACCCACAAAGCTTCACCTAAAAAGCTTCACCCACAAAGCTTCACCCAAAAAGCTTCACCCGAAAAGTTTCACCTCCAAAGCTTCACCCACAAAGCTTCACCTAAAAAGCTTCACCCACAAAGCTTCACCTAAAAAGCTTCACCCAACAAGCTTCACCCGAAAAGCTTCACCTCAAAAGCTTCACCCACAAAGCTTCACCTAAAAAGCTTCACCCACAAAGCTTCACCCAAAAAAAAAAACTTCACCCGAAAAGCTTCACTTAAAAAAGCTTCACCTACAAAGCTTCACCTAAAAAATCTTCACCTAGAAAGCTCCCTCTACATACTTTCACCATCAAAGCTTCACCATCAAAGCTTCACCTAGAAAGCTTCATCTACAAAGCTTCACCATCAAAGCTTCACCTAGAAAGCTTCATCTACAAAGCTTCATCTACAAAGCTTCACCATCAAAGCTTCACCTAGAAAGCTTCAACACCAAAGCTTCACCTACAAAGCTTCAACACAAAACCTTGCTCCAAATAAACAAATTTTGTTCACAAAACCCAAGATGCCCTTGAACTTGTACAAAAAACACTTGGGTAAACATAAACATTTTTTGTTTTACACCCACAAGGGCCCAAAATTTTCCTTCTTATTTATTCACTTATATATGTTCCCAAACATATTATAATAGATCCAACAACAAGCCAAAGTCCCAAGTTTCATAATGGACAAAAGTACAAGCAATTCATCAATAATGAAGGTGCTACAAAAAATTGGAATCTGCCCCAAAATAGAAATCCAACCCAAGAGACTTTTTTCTCTCTCTCCCTCTTCCGCCTCCTTTCATCTATCAAATTTCTGCAACCTCTGCTCTTCTCCAATGGAGCTGAATTTTGGACACCCTATAGTTCTTGAGCATATGAACAACTTTCAAGAAGGAACCATTTCTGTTTGAGCGACGGAAATTAAAGTGTTGAAGCTCCAAACATGATAGTCGGCTTCTTGCAGATTTCGAAGCTGTTGTGATGTTTCGAAGATCTGGAAATATTTAACCGTTAGTTCATCCTGAATTTTTGATATGTTATGAAAGAGTCGATGAGGAACAACTTCAATGAAGAAAGCATACCGATCTGAACAAGAGAAAATGGAGTTTCGAAGCTCACAACAAATCTGACGGGTTGACAGAAAAATAATAACCAGTCATTCATCATACCTGGATTTCTGGAGTTATACTGCTCCGAGGGATCTCAAATTTGGATATGTTGTAGTTCACAAGCTGAGGAACAACTTCAATGAAGAAAGCATGCTGATCTGAGCAAGAGAAAATAGAGTTTCAAAGCTCACAACAAATCTGACGGATTAACAGAACATTGATGAACAGTTACTCATCATACTTGAATTTCTGAAGTTGTACTACTCCGATGGATCTCAAATTTGGATATGTTGTAGTTCACAAGATAAGGAAAAAAACTTTCATGAAGACGACTTTGCAATCTGAGCTATAGAGAAAGGTGTTATCTTGCATCCACTCAGGCTGATTAGTGGAAACGAAAAGCAATTCCACCAAAGAAAAGATGAAAAAGAGAGAAAAAGCTACTAATTGCACTTGATCTTGTCTAGTCAATAGCATGCAGCATCAAACACACAAAAGTTGGAAATATTTTTAGATAAAGCATATACGAATGTGTGACATCGAAAACAAGAATTCGTTACTTTGACAAATTAGTAACACGCGAGACACCTCATTCGGCAACTCTCTTCGCCTGAAGACTTGGGGGACTCCCACCATATGCTACTGCACCTTGATACTCGGCAGTCTCACAACCACTCAGTGACTTGGATTTTTCAAGTCTCCAACCGAGAAGTTTTCCTCACTCGGGAAATTAAGGGAACACTACCTCAAACTACATGCTTCACTCACAAAGCTTCAACAATACAGGTTTCAACAAAAGCAAAAATTCAAAGAACTTTATGAAGAAGGCTTTGGTGTATTTAACACAATATGTTGAAATGAAGCAAAGCTTATTTATTAATATTTTCGATAAGCCACAAATATGTACATATACATGAGTCAAAATAAACAAACAAAAGGGAGCCTTCACAAAGGTTGCTTAGGGGAAGTCTCAGCAGTCGGTAGAGCCCCAGAAAGAGAAAGCACCGGAGGGTGGTTATCCGGAGCCTCAGTACTTGACAAAACCCCAGAAGGAGGAGGCATTGGAGGTTCATCATTTGAAGCTTCATTACCAGGTACAGCCCCAGAGGACGAAGGCAATAAATGCCTTTGGAACAAACCCACAAACCGCTGATGATCAAGTAAAACCTTACCATCAGATTCCTTCATCTGGTCAAGCTTCCTCTTCATGTTTGTAGCATAGTCATGGGCGAGCCGGTGCAACTGCTTATTCTCATGCTTGAGCCCTCTAATCTCCTGTTTGAGACTCATCACTTCAGCAGCCAATGATTCAACTTGGCGGGTTCTAGCAAATAGGCGTTGGGCCATATTAGACACAGAACCTGCACACTGAACACTAAGAGCCAGAGAGTCCTTAACAGCCAACTCATCAGACCGTTTGGAAAGTAGTCTGTTATCTTTGGGAGTGAGAAGGTTCCTGGCCACCACTGCAGCGGTCATATCATTCTTCATCACAGAATCCCCAACGGTAAGAGGACCAGTAGGGGATATGAAGGATGGGCGCCATATGTTGTCTGGAGAAGGCGTGGCTGTCTCTTCTCCAAGGTTCAAGTCAAAACGACGGTCGGAGGGTCCAGACATTTTCAAATGTGTTGAAGAAGGAAGAGGTCAGACAAATCAAGATCTTAGAAGTGCAAGAAATGAGCTTCTACTGGTAGAGATTCAAGTGTGCTGTGGAACTTAATGCCAGCCTCTATAAAAATCTGCACTCGACGGAGCTTCAGAAATCGAAGAGGCGTTTGCTTCTCAAAAGCTGGGCTGCTCAGAGACCACGAGGGCCGATCTCAGAAATCGAAGAGGCGTTTGCTTTCTCAAAAGCTGGGCTGCTCAGAGACCACGAGGGCCGATCTCAGAAATCGAAGAAGCACCTGCTTTTTCAGCCTCGTCAGCACCTGTCACATGCACACTCAGCTTTGCGGAAATTACGGGCAATCTGTCGAAGATTTCTGGTGAAGTAGAAAGCACGTGAATCTTACTGTTCAATCACCGCTCTCCATATGCACCATCAACTCCTCGGGTACCACATATAACTTTGTCAAAGATCTCTGACAAAGTTTAGGCACGAGAATTTCGAAGTTCCAGCTACCCTACTATTACCCATAAGGGTAAAGGAACAGCACCACTGCTTGACAACTGGAAAGTCCCTATGTGTGTCGACCTCCGTGTTTTGCGGCAAGACAGGTTGGCAAGAACGTCCAACCTTTACTCACATTCGAGAAAAGACTCCCAACATAATTACTTTCTCAAAAAACCGGAGTAGCACCGCTTTCCGAATCTCGAGAGTCAGATCCTCGACGGGATTGCTTGTTCGAAAACCGAAGAGGCACAACTCTCAGAACTTCGAGAGCCAGATTTCCTTAGATAAAGCTTGTCTGTAATCTTCACACGTAACATCAGCTTTCCAGATACCACATACCACTTTTTCAAAGTGCTCTGACAAAATTAAAACACGTGAAGCTGGCAGCTCCCACTACATTGCTGTGACCAAGAAGGGTAAAGGAATAGCATTACTACTTGTTATTGGGAAATCCCTATATACATTGACCTCCCTCCTCAACGGACAGGCAAACCTGCAAAAATGCTCAACCCTTTCTCGCATTCGAAAAGGCACCCTCAACATAACCTCTCGAAATACTCAGCTTTATTTCCCCCCGATAATACCTCAGCAAATAAGCCACACCAAGAACAAGAGTATCTCATATCATCAGGGTCGAAAGCAAGAGTATCCCATATCATGCTTTCTCCCTATCTTTGTCTTTGTCCTTGTCCACACCTGCAGGACAAGGAGAAAGAGAGCAGTCAGTCGGAACCTGAAATCAAACCTCCAATTTGGAACTGACTGCCTGGAGCCTTTGCCTGGTTGCTTACTTAGCATTGCTCTCGAGTACTCATCCTCAACTGCTGTCAAGGTCACGAATTCCACCGGCAAATACCTCATGACAGTTGATCAGATATTGGCTCTTTACACTGAAGCTGCCAAGCGTGGATGAGTCACTATGAAGGAATGTTCTGAAGGACCATTTAAATGCAAAGGTTGCACACCACTTCTGCCATGCAAAAGATTGAAGCAGAAGGTTCAACGGTGAGCTGAAACAGATCACTACAGCACGACACCTTTCCATACCACATTCATTATTCCGTCAACAGCAAAAGTATCCCATATCATCAAGGTCGAACGTACTCTAGATTTGATGGACTTGTTTTGACCCTCAAATTTTTGAGTCGGCCTTATACTCTGAAGGGCACCAGAAAACCCTCCAGCACAGTTCAAGAATAAGCCTGTGGAAAGTTACTTCTTCAAAAGCAAAAGTATCTCATATCATCTCTTATCCATTTGCTTCTCCTTATCCTGGCAGTTGAATGAGAGACAAGGAGAAGGAGAACAATCAACCGGAAGCCGAAGTCAAACCTCTGATCCTGGGTTGCTTACTTGGAAGTTTGACTGCTTACCTTGTCTGTCACCTCTTTCGGCAGATCTCCTAGCTCGGCGACTTGGGGGACTCCTACTATAGGGTTTGTATCACACTTGACTAAGCCCGAAACTACAACTAAGCTTCAAGTGAAATTGATACATTACCTTGTGCGTCAACATCAGCTAAATACACCATTCCCGGATGGAGGAAAGGTACTTCCAGAGAAGGGCAGATGAAGATCAGACCACACTTCGGTACTTAGAAGTTTCGTGATTACTCAAGGGATTGGATCTTGCAAGTCCCCAACCGAGGAGTTTCCCTCACTCGGGAACTTAGGGGAGCACTGTTTGTACCATACTTGACCAATCCCGAAACTACCGAGCACCGGCCAACGCTATACTGTCAAGGACCCAGAAGAGTTCCCCTCCGACCAGGAGGCCAATCACTACTCGACACGTGTCAAGATTAGAAGCCAATCAGAGCGCAGCACGTGTCGACATCAAGAACCAATCATAACATGACACATGTCAATGTGACAAAGCTACAAGTTTTTCTATAAATAGAGGTCATTCCCCCACAATATTGCCTAATGACATTTGTGTTAAATCATTCACAAGAACTCACTAAATTGAGAGCTTGATCCTTTGTACTTGTGTAAGCCCTTCACTACTAATAAGAACTCCTCTACTCCGTGGACGTAGCCAATCTGGGTGAACCACGTACATCCTGTGTTTGCTTCTCTGTCTCTATTCATTTACGTACTTATCCTCACTAGTGACCGAAGCAACCAAGCGAAGGTCATAAAACCTGACACTTTCTGTTGTACCAAAGTCTTCGCTGATTTTGTGCATCAACAGATGTGTTAAATTGTGGTTAAGGTTTCAAAACCCGCAGCGGAGCGCGGAAATTTTTGCTAGTAATAACTAATAGAGTAGTATCAAGTCATCATGGAGAAATAGTAAGTTTATGATGTAATGTAATGGGGGAATGAATTTGAATTCGTTTATGCCAATTTACAGAACTATGCATATGTCGGGTGGGGTGGAAGTATTTCATGAGTAATTTAGAGATCACATGCCATAGGAAAGAACATACTTCCCGTGCAGCAGATTGTCTATCATCTACGGCTACGGCATTGCCCAGCAACAGCAACAACAACAACATGCAGTGCGACTATGCAAGCGTGTTCTTTTCAACTCCTGTATGGTGCTTGCTGTCTCAAAGCTGCCAAGGGTGGAGCGCTGGAGGGGAGATGGATGAACTTCCCTCAATGACTCTGGAGGAAGCATTGGCATGGGGAAAACGGAAAACCTAGCTCCTCCTTCAGAGGGACTGGCAGGTAATTTGAACTTGTATTTTCTGAGAAGGGCCACTTGAGAAGTTTGAGAGCATCTCCAAATCAGTCCTGATTAATAAGAGAAGATCTCAAGTTCAGCGATATTCTCAAGTGGTCTTAGGCATGGAAGTACATATTGCGCAAGTATCCCATCAATGAAGCGTTAAACGAAGAATTGTGAAGACACTTAGGATGCGTCTATTAACGAAGAATCCCTTTGTATAGAATAAATCAATTATGTTTATTATTTTCCTTTTATCTAAATTAATTTTGTTAATTAAGCTACCTAAACAATGTTTCAATTGAAATAGATTGTGTCATTGTATTGAACAAAATCACATATTATTATGGTGTTTTTTATTTTTTACGTTCTCATGGAAGTAGAAGTTGTGAGCTAAGAAGAAGAAGGAAATGTTCTATGTAATAAGAAGTTAGATTGATAGGACGATACTCGTGTGTTTATAATTGAACTTGCTTAACAAGACCAAATAAAATAAATAACAAAAAGATAAAAAGCTAAAAAAAGGAAGAAAAGTAAAAGTCCAGCAACTACTTAAGAAGCACCGTGCGTGCCCAAATGAATCCTCAAGATCAAACTTGGAACTATATATGCATGCTCATTTATAGAAATATAATTTTTCCTTCGCCAAGAAACTTATTAACTTGTGATGTCTTTTTCAAGTAAGTCTAATTTAGACATCGAAGTATGATTGGCTCACAGAGAATTTGTTTCTTCTTCTTTACAAAAAATAAATAAAAACAAAAAATAGGAGTAATTTATTGTGATACGTTCACTAAAAAAAAAAATCCTTTTGTAGCAAATCATTTATTAAGAAAAATAAATACACTTACCACAAAACCAAAAAAAAGAATAATAGTAACATGGTCCCGTCTACCATTATACCTACAATGATCGGGCATTGCTCTGTCAGGCTTTAGCCCATTGCGGAAAATCCCCCCCCCCTTGTTGCCTCCCGTAGGAGTCTGGGCCGTGTCTCAGTGTGGGCTGATCATCCTCTCGGACCAACTACTGATCATCGCCTTGGTAAGTTATTGCCCCACCAACTAGCTAATCAAACGTGAGCCCCTCCTCGGGCGGATTCCTCCTTTTGTTCCTCGGCCTACGGGATATTAGCTGCCGTTTCCAGCTATTATTCCCCTCCCAATGGTAGGTTCTTACACATTTGCTCACCTGTCCGTCATGTGTATCAAGGTTTTACCTGTATTTTCTTTATTCGTTACAAAAGTATTCCAAAGTAATTTTAAGCTTGCGTGTAATTTTTTTTTTTTAACAAACGATATTATCTACATTAAAAGGGTGAGGGTGGGCTTAGCCTCACAATGAGTTAGCAATAATGTGGTTCAAATTTGCATTTGGCGAGAAACGAACATAAGACCTTTCACTTAAAAGTGAAGAGGAATACCACTAGATCGTAGTACTAAGTGGCCCAAGCTTGCGTGTAATTCATTCTCCACACTCTTTCTTTTCGTCTATGCTTGTGTGGAAATTATTGCTTGTACATTTCCTACACTTAATTCACACAAGATAAATCTTAGTAAATGATAATTGGATTAAGTATCTAAAATACCCCAAACTTTTAGTGTAATTTCAAATCGGTCTCAACCTTTTTAAACATTCCAAATAAGTACCCAACCTATTGAAAATGTCATATCCATTCAGTTCCAATTAAATTTCAGTTAAATTAACTAGGGCTTACTTTGCCTCCAACATCAATAGAAGGTCATGGAAACATGGACTCCACTAACTAACAGTCACTAGCACCCTCGTCAAGCCATCACCTCTAAACCCAACACATAACCACAACATCACCCTACAACTTAAGCCGCCAGCATCAAGAAAAAGGTCATGGAGGTTGCTGAAATGGTACGAACTGCCATGATGTGGCTACCACCATCTTCACTACCTACAAAGAAGAACTAAAAGGAAATTATATGAGTAGAAACAAACTCCTTAAAACCCTATCTAAATTTTTAACCCTTTTCTTTGTTAGGAAGTTTTCCAATCTTCATTTTGTTTTTCATTTATTCGTGAATTTGTTTATTAATTAGTTTTTTTTTTCATCTTCATGTCTATTATTTTAGCATCCAAGTAAGCAAATAAGTGGAACCCCATTGTCACATGTACATTTAACGAGAAAATTAATTGAGACTTTTCAGATGCAATATTTTCAATAAGTTGGATACTTGTTTAGAATGTTTGAAAATGTTGAGACTAATTTGGAATGACACTAAAAGGTTGGAAAGTTTTAGGTACTTAATCCATAATAATTTGGTTACAATTAATATTGGCATAATGTGATTGTGTAAATCTTAAATAGAGAGATAAGTTGGGAAATCCTTTGGGATCTAAAAGATATTTCCTATTAGACTTTGTATTACTTTTTTTTTTTTGTGAATTACACAAAACTACCTCAACTAGAATTGCAATGTCATACCTCAACTTATGAATTCATTGCAATGTCAGACCTCCATTAAATTTTCTATCAGTTTGACTGTTAAATGATGACTTGGCAATAATGGGACCCACTCATGATTTAAAAATTAAATAAGTGAAGAATTTTTTATCTAAAAAAATTAAAATTATTAAAAACCCTATCTATCCTCGTGTCTCTCTCCCTCTTCATATCTCTCGTCGCTTCTTAATGGCCGTCTGCGACGAGTCATCTGTCATGGAAGCCACTTGAACTCGAGATTCGACTACCGTATGAGCTTCCCGTCGGCGATTCCTGGACCTGGCGATGATCGAGACTTTCCCAATCCTCGTCTATCCGTCGTCAAGGTTCTAAAGATCAGCAAGGGAGCTCTCGAGTGCGTCGTGAGAATCTGAAGAGGCGTAATAGCCATCGCCATTGCCGTTGCTGATGTGGTTGCCGCTGCTCGTGGGATCGAGGGCGCTAGGGATTTTGGAGTAGTGGAAGGCATCGTTCTGGGGAAGGAGGAGGAACTCGATAGAGTCGGGGGATGAGATCTTTTCGGTGAGGTAGTCTGCGCGTTTTCTCTCTTTCCTTCTCTCCTTAGCGCGTATTCTCCACCGATGCCCATAAACCATTTTACCCATAACATCATGGGTTTAAATTAAAAATTAAATCTTAATTTTCTCGGGTACATAAATAGTCTAATGTTTTGGTTCAATGACTATGAAAGTTTCATGCGATTTGAATGCCACTCCAGGAACTCGTAAATCTATTGGGATTTGAAAGGTTTGTAAATTTTGATTTGTAAGATTTGGGAATTGCGGCTTGCTTGTAATTGCCGGATCCAAATTCAATGCACAGTTTTGGGATAAAAAATCGAGTCTGCACTCTTGTGATTTTTCGACTTGGGTTTTATTTTTTTTTTCTGGAAAAAATTATAGAGTAAATTGTAGTTATGGTCCCTTAACTTTAACTCAATTGGAGCAATGGTCCTTTAACTAAAAATTCATTACCATTGGTCCCTCAACTCATCAAAACGTGCAGCTATGGTCTCTCAACTAAAAATCCATTACCATTGGTCCCTCAACTTTAATTCAATTGGAGAAATTGCCCCTTAAATTTAACCCAATTGTAGCAATGGTCCTTCCAACATAACTCGTTTTGACAAAATTTTTTACGCAGTTGACGAAAATGATCATAATTACACACTTTGATGAGTTGGGGGACCCTAATTATATAAATGGTTATTCCAACATAACTTATTTTGACAAAATTTTGATAAAATTGATGAAAATGACTATAGCTACACATTTTGATAAGTTGAGGGACCAATGGTAATGGATTTTTAGTTGAGGGACCATTGCTCCAATTTGATTAAAATTGAGAGATCATTGCTACAATTTACTCAAAATTATATGCTTTGGTTTGTTTGGTTGCTTGGAAAATGTGAGAGGGGGGTAACAGAGGATTGGGGATGAAGGGGGAGGGAGGGTTGCGGCTGAGAGAGTTGTTTTTTAAATTGATTTTAATTGTAAATAAAAAAATTTATTATTAATTAATTTTTTATTCCAATTGTCAAAGGAGTGGGCTCTGCCCCTGCCATGTCATCATTACGAATTCATGAGTTGAGGTATGACATTGTAATGTTTAAAACATGAGGTATAAGATTGTGGTTCGATCCATAATTGAAGCAGTTTTGTGTAATTTACTTTTTTTTTATTCGAGTGATAACGTTAATAAGTTAAATGTTAAATGTTAGAAGCAAATTATTTTGTCCCTCTTATTATTATAAATAAAGGTTTAAGCATGAAAAATATCACACAAATCCTCACGCTCTTTTCTTTTCTTTGCCGTCTCTCCCTTCTTCTTTAGTTTAGATCAGAACAAATTTATGTTTTTTTATAGGAAAGAAAATTTATGTTGGCAACTGTAAATTATATAAAATTAATAAAACAAAGAACAAGATTTTATAGAGACAAATAACTTGACATCCATGGATGCTTGAGTAATAAAATTGCCAAACACTGCATCCCCTTACTCCCATCTTCTCTTATCAACTCAAAATCTCAACTTTCCGATCTTAAAATTCGGAACTTGTTGAACAATTACTAGCGCTCATCGAAAAACCATGAAACTTGTTGTAAGTATTAGACTGAAGTGGATACTTTTCAAAACTGATGGGCTGTTTGGAAAAGATGAGTTCGACTCGGATTAGGATTTTCTTCCCCTTTCTTTTCATCCTCTTCCATCTCATCCTCTCATATTCTCTTATTTTGTCTTTCTTTTGTTATAAAAATTAATATAAGATGTTGACGTGACTTAACCGTAACCGTTCAAATAGGAGGGGAGGAAAGGGGAGAGAAAAAAGAGAGGAGAGAGAATTTTACTCCGTTCGACTCGAGGATCGACTTTTGTAGCTTTGATCCAAACTCATATACGAAAATAGTATACTATTAAAACAAAAACCAAAAAAAAAAATATTTAGCATGATACTTTAGCATTTTTGGTTGTTGATATGAGATGCTACATACACAAACGAAACAAGATTCTAAGCCAAAAAGAATCGAACCAAATTGAACACCATAAGCTTGATAAAATACGAGTTGGTGTATCTCACGTCATAATACAATTAGAAGAATACTAAAAAAATATATTTCTCTTTAATCATATGACATGTAGTGTACCGACTTAAATTTCAGATAAATAGAAAAATCTCTTCATTTCAAAGGGGAATTAACTTGGCTGCTGAATAATTCAGCAGCCATTCCTACTTATATCCAATCCCGTATAGACACATGTCCAAATTTTAATTAAAAAAAATCAAAACTTGAACACGTGTCAACCCGGAATTGAATGTAAGCAAAATTTGCTGCTGAAAATTCAGCCAAGTCTTGTTCTTTCAAAGGTGGGATGGTGTGAAGCGGAAGCAACAAAATTGATGGTGAAATGACGTTTAAGCCTGTTGCGTACGAAGTTGCCACACAAAACAAATATTTCAATATTATTATTATATTTTATATATGCAATTCAACATAACTAAGAAGAATTTCTAAACATCTAGAGAGAAAAAATATGAATAAAGAGCGAAGAATGATGATCGAACAAGGCACGTAACATTCAAAATTATGGTTGATATGATTGTTTTTTGCATAATTATTTACATATGAATGTGACTTCAATTTCGATTGGCTTTGACATGTCCGCAAAGTCGATTCCTCAACCATATGAATCAGTCCAACGGTTATTATTTCAACCATGGCGGCTTCCAGAACTTCTCTTTGCTTCCGATGTTCAATGACATTAGCACAAAGTTTGTTTTATTTTTTTTCTTTAAAAAAAAAAAAGAATTTCAATTTTTAATAACGTAATTTAGAAATATCTTAATTTGGAAAGCATCTTTGTTTATATGTAATTAATTCATTAATAAACTCAATGCTATCAAAATGTACCTCTATTATGGTTTGACTATTCTAAATCTGTACACTAATGTAAAACAATATAGCAAACAAGGCATATATTGCAAACTAGACCATGACTTACGATGGTTGTCAGGGGGAGGTTGAAAGCTTATGTAAGTCTTCCTAATTTTTGAAAGGATAGACTGACATGGTTGAGCCACCAACTGGTCACCTTTAAAATAAAAAAATAAAAAAAACTAAGGGTCTGTTTGATACTTGAATCTAACTTTTTAAACTCAAAAACAATTTTCAAGTTTTAGGCATTAAAAACTTGTTTGGTATGACTATTTTAAAAAACTGAACTCAAGATTAATTCAAAAATATAGTATATTCTCTAAAAACATAAAAAGTTAGTTTTTAGAGTTTTTAAACTTAAACTTACTCATTTTTTTTCTCTCTTTCCTCCCCTCTCACTCCAAATCTCTCTCTCTCTCTCTCTCTCTCTCTCTCTCTCTCTCTCTCTCTCTCCCCCTTCTTTTTCTCTCCTTTTTTTTTTAATTTTTTTAATTTTTTTTACCTCTCCTTCAATCTGCTATCTTTATTCTCTCGGTTCTTTCTCTCTATCTTGTCAAATCATCTCTCTTCTTTCTCTTTCCTTCAATCATCTCTTACTTTCTTTTCTTCTCTCTCATCTTCCTCCCTCTCGTGCGATCCCTCTTTTTATATCTCTTTGTCTAGTTTAAGTCATAAGATTTAAAAATTTTAAATCGCAAACCAATCAAATTTTTGAGTCTTAAAGAAAATTATTTTCAAGAAATATTTTGAGATATGATAAAAAATTTCAAATAGGATATCAAACAGACTCTAAATGTCCCAGTCCAAATCATTTTTCTTTTATCAACGAGGGTTTTGACCAAAAAAATCAACGCAAGTTTTGACAGCCTACATCATTTTTTATCATCAGATTGAAAATCTAATCCAATTCTTAAAGAGGTCATCTCTAATAATACCCCCAAGTGCAAGAAAAAGATGAATTATTAATGCCCACTTTTTTTGACATGCTGCTACTTTTTTATTCTCCTTCTAATCGTTGGACAAAACAAATCAAAGAAGAATTAATGACCATAATTATGAGCAAATGTGCATAATTCACTCCCACAAAAAAAAAAAGTGTATATGTAATACAAATCAGATTTACAAATACACTTTTGCAACGAGTCGTTAACCCACCATAATATATTGTCCTCGTATTCACGTGTATCAATTATACAACCTCCTCTAACCTAGTGGAGACTAGTTCATGTGGTAAAGTGCTAGTTGCTTAGATTTTTGTTCTCCCTCTCGTATATATGCACATTCCACAGTTGACCTTCAGTTCAAAACGAAGTTACCCCTTAACAGTTGACTTTCAATTTTGCAGTTAACAGTTAAACCGTCAAGGAATGAGATCAAACACCGAATCCAAATGTAATCTTTTAAATTCAAATCTTTTTATATATGGAAAGTTATATAGTGCTCCATCAGGAAAGGATATAGAGTAAAACAAACCGTCCTGACCAGAATGCATATATGAATTTGTATTTTCTCTCACAAATTTAAAACAAACAATAATTATTCTTATTTTCTCACAAATCCAAAAGAAATCCTCCCAAAAATATCCATTCAATTTCTTTCAACTAAAAAATAAACCATAAGCAAATGATGACGCTTTACCCTAGTGGCAGAAGGCAATAATGTATATGCATTTTGGTGCGGCTTTGATCTCCACTGGTCCTCTCCTCCTACATGTAACAATTTTACCACTAATGCTATCGTTTGTAAAAAAAAAAAAAAAAAAATACAATCATACGATCAGAAATTGAAACTCCATGATTCTTCTTACCATGTCTTTGTCAACTTAGCGATGGAAAAACTCAAAGGAGGAAAATTATTTTTTCCATGAATTTCCAATGAAGCTTCTTCTGGGAATGAAGTGTTTCGTATATGATTACATATTTTCCTTAATTAATGGGAAAGCCAACATATTGCCAATTTAACACTTCCTTTTCTTCCTCAACAATTCATTTCTCCCAACTTTTTTTTCTTTCATTTTCTCTTTATTAATTGTGTCTTACAAAACAAGTGATGGACTAATCTCTCTCTCTCTCTCTCTCTCTCTCTCTCTCTCTCTCTCTCTCTCTCTCATCAAGTGTTCATACGATGAAGAGGCTGCTGGTTTTGATGGAGAAATCGCGGGTTGCCGGAAGGTGCCATAATCAACCCTGGTTTTTCCTCCTAATTGCTTCATTTCTTTTAGTCTTCGTGTTGCTTTTATCCGACTATTCGGCTCTAAGCGCCGGAAGAAATACTCAACAGGTCACCTATTTTATCACCAACTTTGCAAACGTAATAGTCAACCAAGATAATTCTACCTCTCTTCCTTATCATGATCATTCTACTCCAATATCATCCAATCAAACCGAGATTTGGCTCACGCTTAATGTCACGAATTCGAGTACTAGTAACGCTATTCCTGCACAGTTTTTTGGTCATGGCAGAGAGGAAAATCATAGCGTTAAGTCTGTTGTCATTAGTAAGTCACCACCAGCACAACCGATATCTCCACCACCAGTACAATCGATATCTTCACCACCAGTACAATCGATATCTTCACCACCAGCACAACCGATATCTAATGAGATTGGGAAGAATAACTCTGATGCTGATTCGTGCTCCGGTCGATATATTTATGTTTATGATCTTCCTAAGAGGTTCAACCAGGACTTGCTCAAGAATTGCCATTCACTCGTGAGATGGAATGATATGTGCTCCCACTTGTCAAACATGGGACTTGGTCCAAGAATTCACAATTCTAAAGGAAAACTGGTGGGAAATGGTTGGTTTGCTACAAACCAGTTTTCATTGGAAGTTATTTTTCATAACAGGATGAAGAAGTACAGGTGTTTAACCAATGATTCGTCGTTGGCCTCTGCGATATTTGTACCCTTTTATGCCGGCCTTGATGTGGGACGATACCTCTGGGACTACAACACATCGGTGAGAGATGCATCTCCTCTTGAATTGGTGAAGTGGCTTTCGCGTAGGCCCGAATGGAAAGCAATGTGGGGGAGAGACCATTTCTTAGTTGGAGGGAGGATTGCTTGGGATTTCAGGAGGCTGACAGACAACAACTCCGATTGGGGTTCCAAGCTTATGTTTTTGCCCGAATCCAAGAACATGACATTGTTGTCTATCGAATCGGGCTCCTGGAACAATGAGCAGGCAATACCATACCCAACATACTTCCATCCCTCAAAGGACAGTGAGGTGTTCGAGTGGCAGAGAAGAATGAGAAACCGAAAAAGGCGGTACCTCTTCTCTTTCGCTGGTGCACCAAGGTCCGATTCGAAAGACAATATTCGGGATACGATTATAAACCAATGCCGGTCTTCGGCCACATGCAAACTTGTAAGCTGCTACAATGGTGCAAAAAAGTGCGACGACCCTCTAAACGTAATGAAGGTGTTTGAAGCATCAGTTTTTTGCCTGCAGCCTTCGGGAGACTCGTACACGCGTCGATCAACGTTTGATTCCATCTTGGCAGGCTGCATTCCAGTTTTCTTCCATCCGGGTTCCGCCTACGTGCAATACTTGTGGCATTTCCCCAACACCCCATCTAAATACTCCGTGTTCATATCCGAAAACGATATCAAGGATCAAAAGGCGATCATCAACGAGACGCTGCTTCGAATTCCGAAGCATCAAGTGGTAGCAATGAGAAAGGAAGTTGTAAGATTGATTCCGAGAGTGATATATGCAAATCCAATGGCACCAAGACTGGAGACAGTTGAAGATGCATTTGACATAGCGGTTAAAGGAATGCTTGACAAGGTAGAGAAAATTAGGAGGGACATGAAAGAGGGCAAGGATCCTGGCGTTGCTTTTTCAGAACTAAACGGTAGAAAATTTGATATGCCTGCAGGTTAACTTTTTCCATTTTTTTTTTTTTTTTGTAATGTGTCCTTCATTGCAATGTAAATATGTAAAGATTTCTTTGTGGATTATGGAATTTTTTTTTTATTAAGATGCTTTCTCAAACATTATTTGTTAGAAAATTTGGTTTTGGCCAATAATTTTTGTGAAACTTTAGGTCGAAGTTGGGTGCTATCAAGAGCTCAAGGCCTATGTGGAGAATTTGAATAAGAACTGCTGAGTGACAAGTAATGATCTACAAAATGAAATTAATGCAAAGTGACGATAGGAAAACTGTGATTAGTATGTGAGACGATTTTCTTACCCATCATGTGGGTTTATAATGGGCTTTCACTTTGCAACCATTTAGAGTATCTCTAAAAGATATGTCAAAATGTCTACATAAGCTATAACAGTAAAAAAAGACCACACTAATGTTCTCCAACCGAAATATCAAATCTTATGTGGCAATGACATGAATTGGTAGTAAGGGAGTTGCTATCAAATTTGACAGCAGTTTCAAAATTAATTATTAATGCTTTTTATTAATTTTTTATTGGTTTAATCATCATTGCAATTAATGTTGTTGTTGACCCGTTTCCTTTTGTTCAATCGAGATAAGTGAACGGTCCCCTCTTGTTAAAAAGAAATGGTGAACGGTCCAGATTTCATAATTATTAAATGCCTTTTACTAAGTTTTTTTAATTTAATCATTTATATTATAATAAAATAAAATAAAAATTTATTTTGACATATCGGGATGGACAATAAAACTTTAAAAGATGTCAAAATGCTATATAAGCTGTCAAATTTAAATTTTATGTTTAAAATTTGACATCTCATTTGAAGATACTCTTATGGCTACTAGCGAAAATTATGTGGGTTCCTATTCATGTGGGTTGCAAATATTATGATAAGGGTATTTAATTACGAAACCATACAATACAAAAGTTAAGTTATAAATTTAGAATTTTTGGAATCAATACAAAAGATTCAGATTATAAACTTGGAAATGTTCGTATTCAATAATATGTGGTATGTAGTCCAATATCTGTGGATAATGCTCCTACATCCCGAATACAAAACTCTCCCTCATTTTAATAATAATCTCTACTAATTAATAAAGCACTCATTCTCAACTAAAATCCTATGAAATTACCAATTTAATTCTCTAATTAAAACAAAACAGGAATAAGAAATATGAGACAGAAATATAATTTCACACAACTAAATTTTGCTGTTTTTTTTTTCAAAACCTCATCTACATGTAATCATAACATATTTCTAAATTATAAAAAAAAATAAAAAAATTCCCACTCCCACGTTCTCTATCAGTCTCTTCCTCTTTCTTTCTATTTCAAAAACAAAAATAAAAAATTTTCTCACACTTTGTGTGTGCCCATATGCTAGTAAATTAAAAAAAAAATTGGAGTCAGAACGGAAAGTTTAATGGCGGAATCGGAAATTTCAATCCAACTCCTGTGGGGATTGGGCCGAGCATAAAATGGATTAAAAATAACCAGAATGTACGGAGGGCTGAAAATGGGCCGGATGTAGCCAAAAGTGAAAATATGACCCGACCCATAAATCGCTTTAGTCATTTTTCAGTCGCAACAAAAACCCTAGCTCTTGGCTTTCCCTATATCAGTATATCGTCTCTTGCTCTCTAACTTCTCTCTCGGAAGAACGCTCCGCCTCACAGGTCTCTCTCACTTTCTGTTTGTTTCTCGAGAAAATTGAAGTCAAAAGTCTTCTCTTCGCATCTACCAATTTTTTTCCACTGTAATGCTGATAACAAAGTTTGGGTTTTTTTTTGGCTTTGCATATTTCAGATCTAAAGTCTGAGCGAAACGTTTTTCTGGAACAGCCATGGCTCTGGTGAGTTTTAGTTTTGTTTCTTCTAATCTTCCAATCTCAGTTGTTGTCTCTGATTGCACTGTAGTCCAATTCTTCTTACGTTCACAGTTGTCGATTTGTGTTTCGATTGCATCTCAAAAAGGTCGTAATTCAGTGATCTTATGCGTTTGGTTTCACGAATGGCCAGTGTAGATTTGGTTGATGATGATACAGTTCAATTTTAGATGTTCTTATATTGATCTGTTTTCAAAATTAGATTTGATTTTCGGGTTGACCTGATATATTGATAAAATACTAGAAAACCCATTTGAACTTAAACAATTTTTAGGGATTTGTTCTGCTTTAGTTCACTTACACTATGTTTGTATGAAGAAATTTAAGATTACTAAGGAATTTTAAAATGACGGTAATTGAAATGACGGGATTTTATTTTCTAGAATTTGTGAATTTTCTTGTTTGGTTAACCTAAAAGAACAATGAAATTGAATACGGGATATGTTATTTTTGAACTCTCAATCATAGAAATTGGGAAATGACACCTATTTACATGGAATTTAAACTTGGGAATTGGAAGTCCCAAATTTCAAGTTTTTTTTTTCCATGCGGAAATTCTAAATTTCTATGTTTATGAATCCAAACAAAGGATTTGGTGCATCAATTTATAAATTCTTTTACCCAAATTTCAAGTTTATTTCCCTCATCCAAACAGTGTTAATATTCAAACCTGTTTTAAGTTTTTTATATGATTTGTGGGTGTGTTTTGGTTTCAACTATTATGTTATCGGCGTCAATTTTGGTATCTTTGTTTACTAATAAGGTTTGTAATGTTTACTTTTCAGGTTTTGCATGCAGGGAAGACAAACAAAAATGGTTACAAGGCACTCATTACTGCAGAGTATACTGGTGTGAAAGTTGAACTTGCACCTAACTTTGACATGGGTGTCTCAAACAAAACTCCTGAATATTTGAAGTTAAACCCTATTGGGAAGGTAGACTTTTGTTTTCTCATTATATACATGCTTAAGGAAATTTGGTTTGATTTTATGTATTAAAGAATCTATGTATAATTTCAGGTTCCGCTGTTGGTAACACCGGATGGTCCCATTTTTGAGAGTAACGCTATTGCTCGCTATGGTAAGACTATCAAATTATATTTATGCATTTTTATTGTTGTATTGGAAGTTAACTATGTTTTTGTGTTGCTTCAGTTGCACGCTTGAAAGCTGATAATCCTCTGTATGGTTGTTCTCTGATTGATTATGTAAGAAACTCTTATCCGTCTGTTATTTTTCCATGTGTAAACCTAAAGGCTCAAGTGCATCTCCCTTTTTCTGTTTTATCATTTTTCTTGGTCCTGGTGAAATAAGATTTTTGTTATGCTTACCATTGTATGTTATTCTTCAGGCCCATATCGAGCAATGGATTGATTTTGGATCCATGGAGATTGATGCTAACATAAGCAAGTGGTACTATCCAAGACTGGGATATGGCGTGTATCTTCCTCCAGTGAGTTACATAATCTTGATTCTTTGTCTTTTTATATTCCCAGTTTAGGTAGCATTTTTTTTACGATTTGATTGCTTAAAGTGTGCTTATTTTGTTTATTTTTTTAGGAACCATGGAAATCGATCATTTATCATAGAGACATTAAATATATATTTTGTTTAGTTAGTAGCGTCACATAGTGAAGATTAATGGAATATGATAATTTTTTTTAATACCAGTTGCACTCTTTTTAAGGCTAGTTACAACGGATCCTGTTAGTTGTTATGGTCAGATATACAATCATGTCAAATACATTGGCTGAAATGGTCAACACAAATTTGGTTGTGACACTTGACTAAATTGAAATATATGATTCTTTCCCTGGTTTACAGTGCACAATCTATGTTGTTTATGATTCCCTCGTTCCTTCCAGCTACCTTGATTGTTCATTGGAGTCTTTATAACATTTTCTGTATATTCTAATTAGGCTGAGGAAGCTGCGATTTCTGCATTGAAGAGAGCACTAGGTGCCTTGAACACCCATATTGCTTCAAACACATACCTAGTTGGCATTCTGTAACCCTTGCTGACATTGTTGTCGTATGCAATTTGTACGTGGGGTTCGCCAACGTCATGACTAAGAGCTTCACTTCAGAGTTTCCGCATGTTGAGAGATACTTCTGGACCCTGGTCAATCAACCAAACTTCAAAAAGGTACTGGGTGATGTTGAGCAGGCTGTTTCAGTTCCACCAGTTGCATCTGCAAAGAAGCCTGCCCAGCCTGCTAAGGGCAAGATCAAGGAGGAGCCCAAGAAAGAAGCCAAAAAGGAGCCGGCAAAACCCAAAGCAGAAGCTGCTGAGGAAGTGGAAGAGGCTCCAAAGCCAAAACCCAAGAATCCTCTTGATCTGCTTCCCCCAAGTAAGATGGTTTTGGATGACTGGAAGAGACTGTACTCTAACACAAAGAGCAACTTCCGTGAGGTTGCTATTAAAGGTAATTATCCCAATGCTTGGTCTTTCTGGAATGTAGGAAGTCAAAAATACCAGTTGGGTTTGATAACCTTAAATTGATGCATACGCCTTTGTTTATTGCAGGATTCTGGGACATGTACGACCCTGAAGGATACTCTCTTTGGTTCTGTGAGTACAAGTACAATGATGAGAATACAGTTTCCTTCGTGACACTGAACAAGGTCGGTGGATTCCTTCAGCGGATGGATCTGGCCCGCAAGTATGCCTTTGGGAAGATGCTTGTGATTGGCTCAGAGGCACCATTCAAGGTGAAGGGGCTGTGGCTCTTCCGTGGGCAAGAAATTCCCAAATTCGTGATGTATGAGTGCTACGATATGGAGCTCTACAGCTGGACAAAGGTTGACATTTCAGATGAAAACCAAAAGGAGCGTGTCAACCAGATGATCGAAGACCAGGAGCCGTTCGAGGGAGAGGCTCTTTTGGACGCCAAGTGCTTCAAGTGAAAATGTCTAAATTCCTTCACCGGAAAGGGGTGTGTTTTTGGTCGGTCTGATCTTTTTTTGTTAGGGTTTCTCTCTGCGAGTGACCAAGTATAACTTATAATCCATGTTATTGCAATTTAATTTTGGAGAATGGTTTAGACATAAAATTCCTTGTGATAGCGACATCTAATGTTTATTTTTATTGTGATTTGATTTCGTTACCTACCGTTCGATTTTAATCTAAACGACGGGATCATGGGATCTAGTCATTGTATCGGTTTGCTCAAAGGCCACAAACATTTGAGGACCACGAGAATATGCTGAGTATGATACCAAATCTCTTTGTAAGAAAAGTTAAAATCCCGCTCAGTGTCGGGTGGGGAGCAAATTTTGATAAAATAACCATTGGAATTGTTACGGGAAATTTTTCATTGTGACGGGATGTAAATGGTGGAAAATTTTAGTTTTTAAGCTATTAACTTTTTAACACATATCTCACTATTTGTATAATAACATGTGGTGTACCATCTTGTGTGCCGGTCACACTGAAAAATCTCTCGAATTGTTACAACATCCGTCCTTTTGTCCATAAAACTGTCAAGTTAGCTACTGTTTTTTAGGGCACTTGGTGGAGGATTTTTTCTAACATGGACGCCGAATTGATTCGATAAAGTCAGTTTTCATCTTTTCTATATATTGAAGTATGAGAATTTGTAAAAGATTTGTAGTTAAGTTAGTTAAGAGTTCTCACTTATCTAAGATCTCAATTTTGATTCCCCTCCGCCAGTATCTTGTATGCAAAAAGCGAATACTCTCTTTTGGATAACTCTTTATTTGTATGACATCTGTTATCAAATTAGTTCAAAGTTAGAAGACTAAACCACTATTGATGAGTCATTCTTAATTGGATTTTATATATGTTTTTTGGGAGAATGTTGATATTATATGTCAAGCGAAATCTGCTTTGCTCAAAAAGTGACGAAACGATGAAATTTTGGAGTAGAGATTCTCAACACAAAAGTTGATTGTGTCAAAATCTCAACCCTTAATTTTAAGCCATTTGGTCGTGGCAATTAAATAAATTCACAGATAAAACTTATTACATGGAACAAGTTGGACGCACAAAACAAGCTTTACAGAGTTACAGCACAGCATATGCACTTATGACGAAAACCCAAAGAATCTATGTAGGACTTAAATGTATATTAGTTACCATTTGCACTTGTAACAAAAGATTTCAAGAGGTAGAGGGAACCTATCTAGCTGCAGAAGTGGAAAGAAACGCCTAAATCCCCTCAGATGGAAAGCGGAGGCAGAGCCGTTACAGCTGCAGACAACCGAAGAAACGTCTAGAAATAAATTACCACGTCCAATGACTACAACATCAGACCCTTCCCTACTCCACAAGAAGTTCACGTCACTCGTGGGAACTTTCATGAAAAGGGTTTGGACTAAGTTTATTTTAATAAAAAACCATGTTATAACTTTATTTAATTAAAAAGACTTAAATTTTAATGAAAAACCTTTAAATTTTAATAAAAATGACAAAAGAACTTAAATTTTAATGAAAAAGACATAATTTTAATAAAAATGACAAAAAATCTTACGTTCGGACTCACGGTACACTGTTTATGAAACTTACTACACTTTTTATGAAACCTTACTACATTGTTTATGAAAACTTACGACACTGTTTATAAAATTTACGACACTGTTTATGAAAACTTACTAAAATGAAACTCTGAAGTGTCCTCTCTTTCTGCACATAAATCCTTCTCTCCTACATTCTTCTCCCTCTTTGAACTAGACTGCTCAACACCGAAGAAGAGTTTTTGAGTTTTCCTATAACTGGTAGGAAACTAAAATATTACAATATAGAAACTTTAGGCGCAAGTAATCTAAACTATATATATGGGGCTATCGTAAATATGTCTCTAACAGTGTGCTTAAAGAACCAAGTGCACAAGTTTGGATTTCGCATTCTTTTGACATAGTTGAGCCTCAACCTTCAGCCCTACCACCCATGTTTAATCCATTAGCTACAAAGGCAGCTACAATTTGTCTCAGTCTTTGGTCCTGGAGGGCCATTCAGTTTCGATGCATGGAAGAAACAGCAAAGGAAATCTAATTCCTCGAAAAAAGATTCTAATCATGAGGCATTGGGTAATGAGTGGCTGCAATCTGGAAGTTGTCCGATAACAAAGTCATACGGTGCAGTTAGCAGTGTCATTCCACTAGTTGCAGTGGTTTTGCAGCCCCCTCCAGGAATGAAACTCAAGTGCCGCCAGCAGCCCTTTCGCGAGCTGCATTTGCTAAAAACCTCCCCCCACAACCGTTTCCAGCAAAAGTACTTGTGATCGGATCAATTGGCATGGCAGCCAATGTTCCTTTAGGGACCACACCAAAAAATTCTCACTATCTTGGTAGGAAAAAATAAAAAATAAAAAAAATCTATTAAACAAAAAGATGGGAGAAAAGATGGAGTGGTTGAAGTTTTTTGGGGTGGGGGGGGGGGGGGTGGGAGCGCAAGTTGGATGTGTTAGTTTTTTTATTTTTTTAGTCTTTTGTCCTTATTGTTAAATAAAGTTTGTGGATGATTTTTTATTAAAATGTAAAGGTTTGAAGTCATTTTCATTAGTTTTCCTAATTATATATAGAGCTAAGAGCTAGCTAATGGCCCATAAACTACTTGGATACAAAACTTACTAGTAGTAGAGCAATCACGAATTCTATATCATGGAATGACACCCAAACTCAGCCAGAGTTCGTCAACCGCATTGAGCATATGCATCCAGTTGTTTTGACACCAAGAAGCTAGTAAGTAATATAATTATTAGTGCAATTTAGAAACTAATCAGTAACCATAATATTATTTTAACATAAAATTAGTTATTTATAAAACATGATGTCAATTCAAATTAGTGATGGACAATTTAGTGCTTACATGTACCACATGAACACATGAATCTGGCTTTTGCTCTCCCCACAACACCTTGTGGATTGTGACCCTAGGGTTCATCCGCGCCTAAAGAAGAGGACCTTGACCTACCACTATGACAAAGTCCAACCATATGTTGGACGCACTACTGTACATGAAGAATCATGATGTTGTATTGAAAAGCGACTGGGCTTATCTGGACAACCCAATCAACGTAACAACTAATCAAACACAAGTCCAACCATATATTGGACGCACTACTGTACATGAAGAATCATAATGTTGTATTGAAAAGGGACTGAGCTTATATGGACAACCCAATCAACGTAAGAACTAACCAAACACCTTTAAATTCAAATATTTACAAATATGATAGTTAAATTATTGAACCTTTTTCAATTCTACTTTCAAAGACATGGCTTACAAATCCGATTTGGAGATTACGGGATACTAAGGGGCCAACACAAAATTGGATTTTTAATTATTTCATGTTGGGCCCTTAGTATCCCGTAATCTCCAAATCGGATTTTTAAGTCATGTCTTTGAGAGTAGAATTGAAAAAGGTTCAATAATTAATTAGCATATTTGTAAATATTTGAATTTAAGGGTGCTTAGTCAGTGCTTACGTTGATTGGGTTGTCCATGTAAGGCCTGTTGCTTTCCAATACAACGTCATGATTCTTCATGTACATGTACATGCCTTTGTTGTAGTGGTAGGTTAAGATCCACCGAACCTTTGGGACACAACCCACAAGATTTTATGGGGAGCAAAATCCAAATTCTGGTGTTCATATGATACAGTTATACACAACTTGCAAGCACTGACTAACAATCACTTGAATTAGCATCATGATAAATAATAATTAATTTTATGTTAAAAGGATATTATGAATTACTAATTAGTTTTTAAATTACACTAACAATTATGTTACCGGATTTTTGGTGTTGAACAACTGGACGCATATGCTCAATAAAGTTGACAAACTCTGGTTTGGCATCATCGTGTCTCAAGTCAGGATAAAAAAGATTCGAACATGGTGCAACTAGTAATATGGAAAATACGTGGATCGTACTGAAAGAAAACAATATTTTTGTTGTTATTCAAATTAAAAAAATAAAAAATAAAAAATAAAGAAAAAAAACACGAAAAGCGTGGTTGCGTGAAAGAGGAGCGATCTCTCCAAACTTTGAGAAGGCGAAAGTTTCAGAGACGCAGAGTTTTGGAGAGATGAGTGAATTTTCTGGTTGCAGATCGCCGACTTTGTTTCTATTATTCGCTTCAATTTCTCTGCAATTCTTTCCAGGTTCAATTTCAAAATAATTATGCATTAATTATGTTGATTTATATATATATTTGTTTTGTATATCACAAAGCAAACGAATTTTACTTAATTTATTGGATTATTTTGCTAGTATATTTGGTAATTGAATTATCTCTGTTTGTTGCTTTCTGGGTCCGTTTCAAATCACTTGTTTGGTTTCTGAGAAAAAGAAAGTTCCAAATTTGTGTTTTTTCTGTTTTTAATTAGCTAAAAACCTACCTTAACCAAACCCAAGTTAGTCATTGTTTGTTTAATCTTGTCCTGATTTGGTTTCCCCGCAAAAGGAAATGCTTATGTTTAAATTTGAAATTTGAGATTAAGAAAAAAAATCCGAACTTTGGTTTTCTTTTTGGAACATTGTCTTGTTATGTACTTTCTTGTTGCCAACTTTGAAGTGGATTGTGTATCTGGGTTATCTGTTTTTATGGAATCCAAGTATCGTAGCTGGATTTTCGAATGTAATCTTAGCGGAAATCTGTGGTCGAGTGTAGGTGTGGCTTTAGAACCTTTGAAAAATGAACAAAAGAGAAAATGTACATATTTTGCAACATCTCAAGTTTGAGTACTTGCTTTGGTAGCTGCAAATTAATTATGTTTTAAGATTCTTGGCGGTGAAGCACCCCGCAAGCATCGCATGATTTAATTGTTCTATAACTTTTAAGTCTTGAAATTCGACCTTACGATAGACTAGATCCTTGCTTCTCGTAGAACGCGCCTTTATGTGACATGAGGGAATTAGATGAACAGATGAAGGAATGAGATGTGATGCTTCTTGATGATGTGATATGTATATGATTAATTTTTTCTCATGTTACCATGATAAGATCTATTAACTTTTGGTCCTTTTCGTTCAGGCTTTTCTGATGATTCATCAAGTTCCAAAGATGGTAAAAAATCTGAGAGTCGTTCTACTTCCAGCCACACTGGGTCTACATTGTTCATCATATTCCTTGGACTTGTAGTAGTTGCGTTGTTCTCCTTTTTCCTTTTCAAGCTATGGCAAAAGAAGAAACGAGAAGAACAGTATGCTCGGCTTTTGAAGTTGTTTGAAGAGGATGATGAGCTTGAGCTCGAACTCGGTCTTCGGGATTGATGTACTGTGCGTTTATATTCAAGGTGTGCCTCCTAGCCTTTTTTTCTTCTTCTTTTCAATGTGCAAACTGTTATTTCCTTCTTTTGAAAATTGTTTTAGATTTTCTACTCTGTAATTAGTAGGGTGTCAGAATACTAAGAAACTACTTAGAGCATTTTAATTGAGAGATGCAAATTTACATTTGTACTTACAATTTCCAGCAAGATGGGTATTATTTTACAACCCCTTAAAATTCACCGATTGGAGGGCTTTCTGGCCAACAAGAACTGTGAAATGCACACCCCCCAAGACATTTTGCATCTCCCATTGTAGATGCTTTTAAAGATATCAAAATTGACATCAATCTTTTATAGGAACACCAACGGTATAGTGGGAATTCTAAAGATGTGTTTAGGGAAGAGTAAGAGTTATTAATAGTGTATCGTAAAAGGGAAAGACCACTTTGTGTACAGAAGCCTATATGGATCATTATAAAGTGAGATAATATCAGTTTCTAATCTTCCCTTGTTTTCATTTAGAAATCTAGACTCTGATGGTTTTTTGAGTATCATTTTCCTTTTTGCTTGTGTTTTGAATCTTGATCATACTCTAATTTATGTAGATGATCTACCAAAAATTTTGCGAGCATTTTTACCAAAAAATAAAATAAAAATTTGCGAGTATTTATCAAATCCTTGAGATATCCATCGCTTACTGTATCCTGGTTAAGTTTGGAAAGTCAGTCGGTTTATGGTATTTCTCCATACGGTTACTTCTATCTATATGATTATTGGTTGATGAATTATTTCCTAATGAGGGAATTTTCTTCTTTGTTTTTGCAGGGTGGAAAGGATTTTGTGTTTGAAAAACTCAGTCTCCTAACCAGGATGGAAGTTTGGTGTCTGGGGTTGAGGTTAGATAATTTCTGTCAAATTGTGACATTTGTAATCATATCTTCAAATGTAATCTTATCCTTTTGTATTGCGTTTTGTTTTTTAGTATGATATCATACCATATTTGAGCTAAAGAAAGGATACTATTTCACATGGAACACTGAGGTTCACAATCAGTGTGTATAAATGACCTTGATTTTGAATTCACCTGCTTGATTGACATCAAAGTCTTAGTAAGTTGCTTGAATGTTGATATGATTTAAGGCAACCGTAAGTCTAGTAAGCCATTAGCGCCATCTGCTTTCAGTTGGTTAACTTTTGAAGGGTTCATTGTCGAGGTTATATGAAAATGACGGCAGTACAATTTGCGGGGTCAGGCTGTCTTTCTCAATACAAAAACTATTGAGAACCTAGTTATCTGGATCTAGATAGGGGTATCATTTCTAATGTTTCAAAGCTACTTGTTTTCTTTTTGTCATTGTTTGATTTTCATGTTGATCTTCTTTTAGAAAAATTTGATATTACAAGATTTCGGGCAAATCTTTTTATCTTACAGATGATTTGCCACTTACCAGCACAGCGGTATGCTTTCCGTGCGATCATTTCATGAGTTCCATTATGATCCTGTTTACTTGTAGGGGAAATCAGATACTAGGCAGGTTGGAGCCAAGTATTTATAACGTAGAGACATCTTTTTATTATTTTTGAATTATTACCAGCGCAGTTGTCCATGTTTTAGCAATGCATTCTGTGTGTTGTATCTGTTCTTTACCCAAAATTTGGGGGCTTATGCTGCCTTACTTTTGGAACAATAATTCAGTTGTGGTTTGTTCTTGAACTTTTTGAACGGATTGTAGAATTTTGCTATTTTAGTTTGGAAGGGAGCTGTGGATGTTCATGTAGGACCTTCGAACCCGTAATTTCTGTTTTAGAACTCATATATAGTTGTCTTGATGTTTCCTCCTGCCCACTCCAGTCTCTCCCTTTCTATGTCTTATGATCTAAAGGTATCTCTAAGCTTATATTGCCCGTTGCCTTGTCTTTAAAGTAAAGACCGAAGAAGGTGCGGAAACTGTTCATTCAAAACCCTGTTTCTGTGACTGAACACTGCCTCCAACGATGCTTGATGAGCACCCGAAAGAAAAGTCGAGTCCGTTGTTCATGTGTTGTAGATGAGTGTCACAGTAGCACATATGTGAACAGATTGTGTACATATGAAATAATGGAAGGTTTGGTTTGCAATTAGCGTTGTCGTTGTTGAGATGGGACTCAAATGGGTTGATAGTTCCTACCTTATTAGCCGTGAAAAGGACAAATGAATTCGACATTACAAACCATAATTTAAATACTTGGAAAAACCCATGAATTGGACTGATTAGGTGAAATACTTTATTCAATTCTCGTTCTCTCTTCCCATTTCAAGTAAATATGTATGAATTTCATTCCTTTTTTTACAAACAATACTGTTAGTGGGTTATGTAGTTGGTTGTTAGGGGAAAGGGGATTCTCTAGGAATCGAACCTGCACCATAGTGCACTTGCTTGGCAACTGCGGTAAAGCGTCATTTGTTGTATAAATTTCTTTCTATTCCTTAACATAAATGAAATGTACTTTTATTACAAATGATATCACTAACATAAGCTACACTAAGGAAAAAGGAGAGAGTTTGAACTCGAGACACAGTGAGTTAAAAAAAAGGGTTATATCTATCAAAATAATCCACCACTTGCAACGTAACGTTGACAATGCTAATGGGGAAAAGTGAATATAGTGAAGCCAAAACATAGTAGCACTAATTAGAAACTCATCTGAACATTTTATTTTTATTGCAAACAATTGCACAATATATGCACACAAAAACAAAATTAAAACTAGTCAATGAGTAGCATTTTGCCTTGTACAAGATACTGGAATATGATCACAGAGATTCAAACGACGGCCTACAAGCTAGAGGCTATAAGCTGCAATATAACTAAAGAATAGTAATGTGTTCGCTATCAATGGGATAACACACGAAAGAATATATTACCGTGGACGTTGAAGGCATGTCGAACGGATCTAAAGAAGCTGTTGACCCGTCTGAGAGGCTGGAAGAAGGGCTCGAAATCAGTTCATCAGTTTGTCAACAATGCCTCCCAATGTGTTGGAAGTCAAACCTTCGACAAGTCAGATGTGGATGTTTCTGCGATTAAACTACTCGCGATCAGCATATTTTGAGGATTTTATTATTTTCCTGTCTTTGCTCGTTTCATCCCTGTGCTGTTGAATGGCGACAGGCTCGGGCTTAGACTTGGGCTCATACTAGGGCTCTCTTCCCTCAGTGTACCGTTTAGCAAAGCCAATTCTCTAAGTTGTTGCTTCTTATAGTGATCGAAGGACTCGTCCTGCAAGAGACGGGTTAAAACTTGTCCAAGAAAATGAATTGAGTCAAAACTACATGATCGATACTATTCATACCACAGGCTTCAGAAGGTTCTCTAGAATTGCCACTGCATGATCCAACCGAGCGTTGATTATATCCTCCGGAAATTCAGCCTCCACCAACACATGCAACGGCTCATTAAGATGTTCATATCCAGGCTTATCTTTTAATTTCTCTTCCTGAATAAAAACAATGTAGACGGCGCATCATGAAAATCAGAATCAGTACAAATATGTAAGGAGCCAAATGATATCACTGAAACCTAAAATTTGACAAGGATACATGAGTATTTTTCAAACAAATAACTCTTCAATGAAGTTTGAAAATCGATACACCGCCTTCCATTTTTAGCACACAATGCCATTCAGAAAATGTCCAACTTATTTGTCATTCAAATGTTGAGACCACAAAAATATAAGGATAAAATGTTAGGCAAGCAAATTAAAGATAAGATGTACAAGAATAATCACGTAAAACCCCATCCCAGCTGAGGATGATAAGAAAATCAGTAATTTCCTAGCTATCTCCATCTACGTCATTTTCGATAGATCAAGCTGTTTGCAGTGAGTTGCAGTATGAACTTTTTTCATGATTAAATGGAGATTATTACTATATAGAGTATCACTGTGATGAGGTTTCACTGTACTATCTTTTGACTTCAACCAACAACAATAAATATATACATCTAACCTACCAAAACAACAATGCAATATATCTAATGACAACCGTAATCGACAACCGTAATCAGAACAAGAAATTATTTCTAAGTTTCTAATTGATTCGCTACGATTCCCATATTTGAAAACTTCATGAGCATTGTTAGCATTGAAATACGTAAAAACTAAAAAGGAAACACACATCGCCACTAGATGAACATGGATAAGAGCTATCTATGCCATCGCCTACAATTTGATATGTCCTTGTTTAGAAGTTTGCAGGTTGCAGACAAAAAAATAAGATATCTACGAACTTAGTTTTAACGAGCCAAACTCCACCGTAAATCAGAAAAAAATATCTTTTGTAGAATGCATGGATTGATGCCTCTAAAACAAATATGGATGAGCAAATTTAGAATTAAATTTTCATGCAACCATGCCATTGCCAACTAACTACTCCAAAAAATATTAACACTACCTTTACAGAATCCTTCACAGAGCCCCGGCCTCGGATGTACACCCTACACTCTGTCATGGCTTCAACTCTTTTTAAGGAGTTCCCACGTGGTCCCAAAATTCGGCCAACAAAATTGTACTGCCAAGTTGGGAGTGAAAAATTGTTAATTAAAACAAAAATGTTGAAAATCAACTCTATACAAATCATAACCCCTTCCTTTCTTACATGTGGATATTTGTCAACCGGAACATCAAGTCTAATAACTCTCTTTACAATAGGGGTGGCTGGAATTCCTTGCGCCCCAGGCCAGCCCATAGAAGGAGATTGGAACGGGGCCATTCTCTGGATATGTCCATTGTCCTATAGGAGAAATTATCATGAATGAAGATTCACACATACAAACAACATCAGACATGAGCAAAACCTAAACTCTCTTCCCACTAAATCATACACCATCAAAGAGTATTATTCAACTACGGGTAGATGATTGAACTACGAATGGTAGAGTTGTTTCAACAGTAACATATTGGAATTTGTGCTTGGATGGCCACCAAAACATTACAAACTGGACTACAGCTCTGGCATTGTGTCTCACAGGCTTCTCAAACATGCATAAAAATTCAAAATCTCATCTTACATTTCAAGAAATGAAGGTTATACTGTCACACATGCAAGAAAATACTAAGCCCTTGTATGCTTTTAATACTCTGGAAAAAAGTCAAACAAATTACAAAATACGCATAGCCTACATCTATAACTACCATTACCTCCATGTGTATTCCTGGCCATCCCTCCAAATCCATTGGTCTACCGTTCGCGTTTTGACTTAATGACCTAAATGGACTGTCATGCTCAAATCTCTCATGATCTGCAAGAGTTTGATTGAAGCCTGATACTCGTCTGATCTCTGTCATGGCATCAAAAAAGTATATTGTTTATGGGTTAAAAGATAAAAAGGCGGTCAAAACTTATTTTCAACAACAAAAAAAGTTAGTTCACAAGAGAGAACAAAATTTAATGCGACATAAATTTAGAAGTGGGCTACATAGGGGAAAAACATTAGATAGAAATTTCATCTAACCATGATTTAGAAGTCTACTACATAGGGGAAATATTTGCAGGAATGGTCCCAACTTTTGCTTCTCTGCCAGTAGTTCAGCCAAATATCTGCCATTACACCAGCCAAATCATGTGTCAACTCCTAGCATACTTCAAAAAGCAGTATTATGTAGTGCCCCCTACTAGTTGACATTCCAAAAGTGAAGTGTATTAATGTAATTCGAGAAAGAATATTCATGTTATATCATATATGCAGAAATCACAACGTTGTTTGAATGATTCTTTTTACAAACTCAATTGAAGTATTACTGGAAAATGGTCACGATTTCAAAGGGAATGAGCAGCATGCTCAAACATCGTCACTTCATCTTCACTTGTATGCATGAAGTGAGATGTGCATCAATGATTGAGAAAAGTACGAACATCATTACAATGGACAAGGTGACTGGAAGCCAACATAATAAAGAACATTAATATGACTAAAAGGATAAAAGCAGCCCCTCCAGCCTGTAAAAGAACAGCAAAACGAAAAGACACAATAAAGACTGTGATTGAAATTTGTCCCCAAACTCCACTCCCTCCCAACAGTAAAAAAGCAGGTGAGCATAACAACGGCAATAAGCATAACAACGACAGTGATTTGGGTTCCACTTAAAAGATCAGAGAAAAAGCAGGTGAGCATGAAAGTAGGTTTAAAACTATGTCTCACGACTTTCACCTGCCATGCTAATAACACTTTTCCACTGAAAAGCATGATCGCAACAAAAGAATGAGTGGGTTTGTCTTTTTCCTTTTATGCTTTGATTCAATATTTAGAAAAGCACAATGTATGATATGAAAGCAGCGGATGTGAAGTGAAATAAGAACTTGTCTGGTTAAATCCCAATTTGCAAGCACTAAAATTACCCTTTGAAGCTTATCCATGTTAACAAGTTCCTGAGGATTACTTTGTTCGATATTCAATGGGGTTCGCTGCCTATATAGATCAATTAATGGCATTTACAAAAAAAAAGAAGTCAATTTTGTATGAAATGTATCAAAATCAACTTCCCAAACGCACGTACGAAGTAGCAATCAATCTTTTTCATGATTGGTAAAACAAATTGACTATTTATGGCGTTTAAACAATATTTCTACTTCAAATAAAGTCCGAAATTCCTTCACAAGACATATCTATAAAAACATAAACATTTTTTCTTGAACAGTAAAAGAAACCGGCAATCTAGATACAATTTATCACACTTCAGGAATAAAAAAAAAAGTAGTTAAATTACAAGGTAAAGTGAAATGTCTGCAAGAACAATCTCCCAAATATGAAATCATTTACTAGTTCCCTTTAAATATTTTTCCATCTGAAACTGAAAATCAAATGGGGTTTATGTAATTAACTCCCAAAAACTCATGGAGCATGCTCGAGGACTCGAAAGTTCATAGTGCAGTACAATCTTAATCCTACTAAAGATACTAGAGGAAATATAAGGACTGAAACCCAAATACATCAGAAAAGCATAGGACAGCCACATGTATGGGATAAAACACATAATCCCTTGAAAACTAAAGTACTTTCTAAGAAAGACAAAATGAAGAACAGCCATCAATGTATAATGTATTAATGATAAAACCACCACTCACACGACAGAAAACGTCAAGTATGGAACCACCAGCTACACATATCACTGATAAACTATCAACAAGGAAACGAAATGACATGAATTAACAGGTAAAACATTAAAAATTAAGCAAATTACTGACCTCTCTCGATCTGCAGGGAGAGAAGACCTGAGTGGAGAAGCATGGACTCCAGGAGGTGGGTACTGGAAGTAACTTCTAGGAGGGATTCTCTCTCCCATAACACAGGGACTACTGTACATGTCAAAGAACCCACAAAACAAATGAACAAAACCACTTCAGAAAACGCAGAAAAATGGCATATCACTATATAAAGGTCAAATGAGCAAAACCCAGTTGAGAAAAACACCGATAAAGCAATACCTTCACAAGAAAATTGAACCCACTTTGAAGAAGACACGCAGCACCCACTAGAACAACACACAACCCAGCAAGAAAAAAAATACCATGTACTTACAGAGAGAGAGGCTTACCGGACGGGAAGGAGAGACGAGGGAGGTGGGGGCAGAGAGATTCAAATCTTTTCTGCCCCTTATTAGAGGTGGGGGTTGGTGCGAGAGAGTGAACAAAGAGGCAAAATCCCTACTACATCATCAGTCTCAAGTCTCTGTATTATTTTGCGGACCGTAAATGCTTTTTTGTGCTCCATCTTCGCACTGGGTGATTTTCAAATGGAGTTTATTTAATATATGTAAATTGTTGTTTTGAAAAAAAACAACAACAACAACAACAACAACAAAGCCTTTTCCCACTAAGTGGGGTCGGCTATATGAATCCTAGAACGCCATTGCGCTCGGTTTTGTGTCATGTCCTCCGTTAGATCCAAGTACTCTAAGTCTTTTCTTAGAGTCTCTTCCAAAGTTTTCCTAGGTCTTCCTCTACCCCTTCGGCCCTGAACCTCTGTCCCGTAGTCACATCTTCGAACCGGAGCGTCAGTCGGCCTTCTTTTTGCACATGTCCAAATCACCGGAGCCGATTTTCTCTCATCTTTCCTACAATTTCGGCTACTCCTACTTTACCTCGGATATCCTCATTCCCAATCTTATCCTTTCTCGTGTGCCCACACATCCCACGAAGCATCCTCATCTCCGCTACACCCCATTTTGTGTACGTGTTGATGCTTCACCGCCCAACATTCTGTGCCATACAACATCGCTGGCCTTATTGCCGTCCTATAAAATTTTTCCCTTGAGCTTCAGTGGCCTACGACGGTCACACAACACGCCGGATGCACTCTTACACTTCATCCATCCAGCTCGTATTCTATGGTTGAGATCTCCATCTAATTCTCCGTTCTCTTGCAAGATAGATCCTAGGTAGCGAAAACGGTCGCTTTTTTGTGATCTTCGCTAGATTGCTCCGGTCATTAGTGTGGATAAGTATATAAATGGATAGAGATAGGAAAGCAAACACAAGATGTACGTGGTTCACCCAGATTGGCTACGTCCACGGAATAGAAGAGTTCTCATTAATTGTGAAGGGTTTACACAAAGTACATAGGTTCAAGCTCTCCTTTAGTGAGTACAAGTGAATGATTTAGTACAAATGACATTAGGAAATATTGTGGGAGAATGATCTCGTAATCACGAAACTTCTAAGTATCGGAGTGTGGTGTCGTCTTGACTTGCCTTATCTGTCTCATAGGTAGATGTGGCATCTTCTCTGGAAGTACTCTTCCTCCATCCAGGGGTGGTATCTTTAACTGGTGGAGATGCACAAGGTAATGTATCAATTTCACTTGAAGCTTACTTGTAGTTTCAGGCTTGGTCAAGCGCGATACAAACCATGTAGTAGGAGTCCCCCAAGTCGCCGAGCTAGGGGGTCTGCTGAAAGAGGTGACAGACAAGGTAAGCAATCAGAGCTCCGACTGATTGTTCACCTTCTCCCCATCTTGCAGCAGCATGAAGGATAAAGAGAAGAAAAATGAGAAGAGATGATATGAGATACTTTTGCTTTTGAAGAAGTAACTTTCCACAGGCTTATTCTTGAACTGAGCTGGAGGGTTTTCTGGTTTCCTCCAGAGTATAAGGCCGACTGAAGAATTTGAGGGTCAAAACAAGTCCATCAAATCTAGAGTACGTTCCACCCTGCTGATATGGGATACTTTTGCTTTTGACAGAGTAATGGATGTATCGGCACGTGTGCTGTTACGCTTGTCTCCACATGCTTCCTTGTATCCTTCGCACTTGCCCTATCTGTTCCTCAAGCAGATGCGGAATCTTCCCTGGAAACATAAGATGTTGAAGATGAGTACTCGAGAGCAATGCCAGGTAAGTAATCAGGTAAGGGGTTCCAGGCAGTCAGTTCCTGGCTGGAAGCTTGATTCCAAGTGCTGACTGATTGCTCTCTTTCTCCTTGTCTTGCAGGTAAAAACAAGGCCAAAGGAAAAGACAGGGAAAAAGCATGATATGGGATACTCTTGCTTTTAACCCTGATGATATGAGATATTCTTGCTCTAGTATAGCTTGTTTGCAGAGGTATTATCGGGGGGAAAGAAAGCTGAATATTTCGAAAGGCTTCGTTGGGAGTGCCCTCTCAGATATGATGAAGGGTTGAGCATTTTTGCAGGTCTGCCTGTCCGTTGGGGATGGAGGTCGACATATATAGGAGTCTCCCTAACAACAAGTAGTAATGCTATTCCTTTACCCTGCTTGGTCATAGCACGGTAGTGGGAGCTGCCAGTTTCACATGTTTTAACTCTGTCAGAGCACTTTGAAAAAGTGGTCTGTGGTATCTGGCTCTCGAGATTCGGAGAACGATGCCTCTTCGATTTTTGAGAAAGCAATCATGCTGGGGGTCTGGCTCTCGAGATTCGGAGAGCAGTGTCTCTCTTCGATTTTTGAGGAAGTAATCATGTTGGGAGTCTGGCTCTCGAGATTCGGAGGGCGGTGCCTCTTCGATTTTGGAGCAAGCAATCTTGTTGGGAGTGTTGTCTCGAATGTGAGTAAAGGTTGGGCATGTTTGCTAGTCTACCTTGCCACGAAGCACAAAGGTTGACACACAGGGACTTTCCAATTATCCAGCAATGGTACTGTTCCTTTACCCTCTCTTCTTACCCTCTCTTCGATTTTGAGAAAGTAGTCATGTTGGGAGTCTGGCTCTCGAGATTCGGAGGACGGTGCCTCTTCGATTTTGGAGCAAGCAATCTTGTTGGGAGTGTTTTCTCGAATGTGAGTAAAGGTTGGGCATGTTTGCTAGTCTACCTTGCCACGAAGCACAGAGGTTGACACACAGGGACTTTCCAATTATCCAGCAGTGGTACTGTTCCTTTACCCTTGTGGGTAATAATATGGTAGCTAGACCTTCAAAATTTATGTGTCTAAACTTTGTTAGTGCTGTTTCTTTGCTATTCTTTTACCTTTCTTGGTCAGAGCGATGTAGTGGGAGCTGCAAGCTTCACGTGCTTAACTTTGGCAGAGAAACTTTGGCAAAGTTATCTGTGGTACCCATGAGCTATTGTTGCGTGTGGGAAGTGGGTGATTGAACAGTAAGATTCATGTGCTTTCTACTTCACCAGAAGTCTTCGACAGAATGCCCATAATTTCTGCAAAGCTGAGTGTGCGTGTGACAGGTGCTGACAAGGCTAGAAAAGTAGGTGCCTCTTCGATTTCTGAGATCGGCCCTCGTGGTCTCTGAGCAGCCCAGCTTTTGAGAAAGCGAGCGCCTCTTCGATTGATTCGGAGAACGATGCCTCATCGATTTTTGAGAAAGCAATCATGCTGGGGGTCTGGCTCTCGAAGATTCGGGGAGCAGTGTCTCTTCGATTTTTGAGAAAGTAATCATGTTGGGAGTCTGGCTCTCGAGATTCGGAGGGCGGTGCCTCTTCGATTTTGGAGCAAGCAATCTTGTTGGGAGTGTTTTCTCGAATGTGAGTAAAGGTTGGGCATGTTTGCTAGTCTACCTTGCCACGAAGCACAGAGGTTGACACACAGGGACTTTCCAATTATCCAGCAATGGTACTGTTCCTTTACCCTCTCTTCGATTTTTAAGAAAGTAGTCATGTTGGGAGTCTGGCTCTCGAGATTCGGAGGACGGTGCCTCTTCGATTTTGGAGCAAGCAATCTTATTGGGAGTGTTTTCTCGAATGTGAGTAAAGGTTGGGCATGTTTGCTAGTCTACCTTGCCACGAAGCACAGAGGTTGACACACAGGGACTTTCCAATTATCCAGCAGTGGTACTGTTCCTTTACCCTTGTGGGTAATAATATGGTAGCTAGACCTTCAAAATTTATGGGTCTAAACTTTGTTAGTGCTGTTTCTTTGCTATTCTTTTACCCTTCTTGGTCAGAGCGATGTAGTGGGAGCTGCAAGCTTCACGTGCTCAACTTTGGCAGAGAACTTTGGCAAAGTTATCTGTGGTACCCATGAGCTATTGTTGCGTGTGGGAAGTGGGTGATTGAACAGTAAGATTCATGTGTTTTCTACTTCCCCAGAAGTCTTCGACAGAATGCCCATAATTTCCGCAAAGCTGAGTGTGCGTGTGACAGGTGCTGACAAGGCTGGAAAAGTAGGTGCCTCTTCGATTTCTGAGATCGGCCCTCGTGGTCTCTGGGGAGCCCAGCTTTTGAGAAAGCGAGCGCCTCTTCGATTTCTGAGATCGGCCTTCGTGGTCTTTGAGCAGCCCAACTTTTGAGAAAGCAAACGCCTCTTCGATTTCTGAGATCAACCCTCGTGATCTCTAAGCAGCCCAGCTTTTGAGAAAGCAAACGCCTCTTCGATTTCTGAGCAGGCGCCTCTTCGATTTCTGAAGCTCCGTCGAGTGCAGATTTTTTATAGGGGCTGGCATTAAGTTCCAAAGCACACTTGAATCTCCACCAGTAGAAGCTTCATTCTTGCACTTCTAAGATCTTGATTTGTCCGACCTCTTCTCTCTTCAACACCTTTGAAAATGTCTGGCCCCTCCGACCGTCGTTTTGACTTGAACCTTGTTGAAGAGGCAGCCCCGCCTTCTCCAGACAACATATGGCGCCCATCCTTCGTCTCCCCTACTGGTCCTCTTACCGTTGGGGATTCCGTGATGAAGAATGATATGACCGCTGCGGTGGTGGCCAGGAACCTTCTCACTCCCAAAGATAACAGACTACTTTCCAAACGGTCTGATGAGTTAGCTGTTAAGGATTCGCTGGCTCTCAGTGTTCAGTGTGCAGGTTCTGTGTCTAATATGGCCCAACGCCTATTTGCTCGAACCCGCCAAGTTGAATCATTGGCGGCTGAAGTGATGAGTCTCAAACAGGAGATTAGAGGGCTCAAGCATGAGAATAAACAGTTGCACCGGCTCGCACATGACTATGCTACAAACATGAAGAGGAAGCTTGACCAGATGAAGGAAACTGATGGTCAGGTTTTACTTGATCATCAGAGATTTGTGGGTTTGTTCCAAAGGCATTTATTGCCTTCGTCTTCTGGGGCTGTACCGCGTAATGAAGCTCCAAATGATCAACCTCTGATGCCTCCTCCTTCTAGGGTTCTGTCCAGTACTGAGGCTCCAAATGATCCCCCTCCGGTGCCTTCTCTTTCTGGGGCTCTACCGACTGCTGAGACTTCTCCTAAGCAACCTTTGTGAAGGCTCCCTCTTGTGTGTTTATTTTGACTCATGTA